AGCGGCACAGATATGACTTATTGCATTTTAGAGCTAAAAAAATAGGCTTAGACCACTATCCTGAAGTGTTTGTGATTCCTTAATTGCAAGACTACTGGCGTAAACATTCATAAAACTTACTGGTACATATTTTATTCAAAAATTAAATTAGGAGTTAAATTCTTTGAGACGAGAATAACTCTCCGGTGTCCTCATTCCAGATGAAGAGCTGCTCATAATCTTAGTCCGAGAGACTTGGTGTCCACCCGACCGCGATATCTCCTTGTGTTGTTCGGTTACTTTTATTTTACGAGCCACCTTTAACATCGCCCTAATTTTCTTTTGTAATGTTTTAAAATATATGCAACCCTTTCTATTATAAGTTAATCAATATAGATGAGGAGCCCCATATTGAGATATAGATATATTTTGGAAAAGGAAAAATATGCCTTATTTATTTCTAAAAGGTGAGTAATTCCTTACACCCACAATTAGGTGAAACAACGAAATTTTATCGGGTTTAACACTAAAGCTTAGAGTATTAAATTCAATTATCTAAAACAGAAGAATATTGGTTCAGTTTAGTAGGTATAAACACATTATTTTATCATTTGACAGTTATTTTGCGTTAATAATCGTGTTTCAACCTTTCCTACAACTTTGTAACCAAACAAAATATTGAACGCCTCTTGAGCAGCTGAACATTTAGCCAAAACAATACGTAGATGCATGACATTTTTAAGCTACAGTAACAAAAGATTTAATAATCCACAATATTTCTGTTTATTGGTTAGGTTGCTTACAGAGCGGTGCGATAACGAAAAATCTTGTTCATCGCAAGACCCAAAAAATATTTAAAATATTTTTATTTTTATTTCCGCCAATTATTCGACCACTGCCTCATCTGTTAAACTTGTGTCTAGAGTTGGTGATGTAACATAGGTACTACGTTATTGTTATTATAGCATCTAAAGACTGTATGCACACCAAAAGTGGAAATGACAAAATGTCCTGACTGCAAGTCATCTCTGAATCATCCAATAACGCTGATTGGGGCCGTGATGAAGACAAGCTGAATGTAAGAAGGCAAACAGAGACCAGACGTCGCGAGGGAGGTTTGCTTAGTGATCAAAGTCGTGGAGGGTTTGCGGGTTTCTGGCCAATTTGACTCTGACCAATTAGCGGCTGCAGTCCAAGGAGCTTACATTGAAAGAAGCGATCAGGGACAAGTCAAACATGAGACACAAACAGTCAAACACTAAGATACAACATTGGTCCATGCTGAACACGTGTTTGATCAATTAACTTGGAGTTCCACAACCAACTTTCGAAGAAAGGTAAGAAGTATCCATTTTGATGTTCCGTTTATTTTATAGTGGGTTTAAAAGTATGTTAACAATGGAAGATGTTTTCGTAAGCTAAAGGGAAAGGATTCACATCTATATTAACATTTATTTTTTATCAAGGGGGGGGGGGTTAACTCTTGAACTTATAGGCCTAAATGAAAGAAAACACAACGAATCGTTAAAACAAAAAAAAAAAAAACACAACACAAATGGTACGAACAATTACAATTATTGATTCAACAGTATAAAATGGGAATGTAATAAAAGTTATCAATTTAGGGAATAAACTATATATCATTATAAATATTGTTTCAATATGTAAGATGACGTTAGAATAAACGGTTTAAGTATTGTATTTCAGTGTTAAGGTATCATGATCTTTAGTTTAACTTTCAACCACAATAAACAAAACAGTGTATGAAAACGGATTTTGAATATGCTAGTTATTATATATAAGTTGCTAGTTTTAATCAGATCACTTGATTGAGGTAGGTATACAACTCTTCAGAGTATAGATTTACAATATAAATATTTCAAATATTCTAAATCAGCAGTCCTATTTATCTAAAAAGAATTGTCATAAACATCTAAATAAAATAGAAAAATGCTCAATTTGCGCACAAATCTTCTTGTTGTTTTTATTGTTTATTCTTCATGCTGAAATTCCCAACATCACCATTTAACGGTGATATAATCCACAAAATTGTGATATAAGGTAAGTGATCCATATTTACAGGATTTTCTCCCGGGGAGTGGTACAGGGGACCGCCTTGGGTCCTAACTTATTTTTATCGTCCACAAACACGTGTAGTAGCGCCTAATCCTGAGTTACGGACATTAAAATGAGCTTTTCCTTACACTTACAGAGTTTATCGCCTCGGAAAAGCTGAATTTAATATACTCACTGAAAATTGGATACATTTTATTATTTTTTAGAGATACCGTAAGGATTTAATAATGGAAGAATATGAAACACTATTCGAACTTTTTTCATAATAATAAGGTAACCTATTTATAATTGTTTCAAAATATCTTGAAATATCTCCCCTGTTTGCATGTGCATGCATTTATCAAGTTTGAAACACTTACCTACAGAACTAATAGAGAAACAGAAGATACCACGGTCCCAGTATTTACACAATGACTGACATTTTATTCTACCGGGAAATTCTCTACAATCTATGTTACATTTGTGAAAGGAGTTTCCCTGCCAATATCAAAAGAGGGTCCACTCAGTCCGCTAAGGCTCTTACCAAGACGTCGCCTCCCTTTCAACAGCTGATAATTAACCTAATCAGCTGGACATTTAATGGCGAGGTAAGGCACTTAGCGCCTTTGATCGTTATAAACCACAGTCTTGTGTTGTGGTGTCTTAGACGGACTCCTTGGCATTGAGAAGTTCCCAGAAGGCCATCAGTGACTTGTTAGAGGACTTTGACTCTTTGAGGTGTTGGAGGTCTTTGGTTGAACATGTACTGACTGGCCAATCATCATTGGTATAGACAACGACCGGATTGCAATTACCCGGAATAATTCTGTGGAAATCAAGGTATTTGATGAGTAGTAGTCACCTTCATTCAGGTGGGAGATTAAAAGCAGTTTTAGATTGAGTATTATCGTTGTTGAATTGTATATTTTTCTGTAACTACCTTGACTAAAAGTCCTTTAATTGACAGTTAATAGTTCACGAGTAAGATAATGTTCATTTCAAAAGGGCTACCTCTTTTCTTATAAAGACCTTTGAGACAAGATTCTTAATTTGGGTTCTTGAGTTGGGCCTTGTCTATCTAGTTGTTTTGATGTCTATCGTCTATCAAAATAAAGATAAATACAAAAATAGATAATAGATAACTTTAAACAATCAAATCAGACTTTTAAGAATCCAACTTTGCATTTCACTGGTTTTTGATAATGAAGTATAATAAGCCAACTTACTTTAAAATATGAAGTCAAACGAAAAGGTACAAAAAATGTCAAACGAAACTGGCATTTGCCAAATCTGGTCAAAATTCAAAATTTCAAAATTGTTTCAAAAGTCAAAATTTCACAAAAAGCTTATCTTAATAATTTATAAATACATTTGTATTGTTAAGACTCTCAATGCATATTCAATATAAATTAATACTCAGCAAGAATAAAGACTAAAACAAATACAGCAATCTGACACATCATTTCTCTCACTAGCTTGTCAACACCACTTATTATGAACAAGGAGTGGGGGTAACTATGATATTTTTTGGGTAACATAACAAAAGTTGTAATAACTTTTGAACCGTATTGTTTACAGTATTGGAGATTGTACCATTTTGTGTAGGGCTACAATGATGATAAAATACAAAATTTTATTCAAAGTAGTTTGAGTCGTTTTTGTAGAAATCCAATTTTTACCTTTATTTTATGGGTTTTTATGGGCAAATTGCTATTAAAAATCAAAGCTTTAAAAAAGAAAAATACCCTGGAGAAATCTTGGGTTAATACTTATACAAAATTTCATGGAAATTGGACCAAAGGTGTACCCTGTATGTCAGGTCTGTACACGTCCACAATCACACACACTTCACTTCGAAAACAATTTATACGTCCAAACCGGGGCCATCGTCCAAACAGGATATATTAACCCAAAACTTAAACTAGGAAATTTTGACGAAAAAAATTACTTCTCCATATGCCATGTATAGTGGGAGAAAGTAAAAAAGGTATGCCCTTGCTCAAAATAACAATGTTAAGTACATTAAATAAATGATACCGATACCAAATTACCAAATTTTGTATATTATGCGCGCCTTCATTAAGCGTAGTTTTAAGAAATAAAATTATACAGAAACGCACTCTAAAGAACAGAAACACAATTTAGAACTGTCTCTTGAGCTTATCCGCAAGGGACCCATAAGCAAAAGCACAGACAAGAAAAACAAAACAACTTTTATTTCCTTAGTCAATTGCAAAAAACTTCCTCCAGGCCACAAAAGTGGCAACGCTGCAGACCCGGTATACTGAAACAGTTGTTGCACTAATTTATGTTGGAGCGTATATACGAAATGTTTATGTGTACAAGTTTGTTACTCCTGCATTACTATGGCAATAGGCATGTTAACGATACCACACACCAAAGCCATGGCTTTGTTTTAAGGGGGCTATGATATGATATTTAAGGCATAGCGGAGAGGCCTGTAGTGGCATGTATCAGCTAAAGATAATTTTCTGTTTAAATGTGTGTGCTGCTAAAATAATTTAAAACATGTTGTCAACATAGCGGATAAAAAGTGTAATTGTCGGTGGTCACAATGCTACATGCTACCTCAATGGTGTGGTGCCGCCTCCCCGCAGATGAAGGTGGGAGTGGCGTAGCAGCGGCAGCGGCGGACCGTTTTTCGTTTACCATCCAGCCGTGATCCAGTTAGACACCATGGATAAAACATACAATACACATCGATGCAAATGTATAATGATTAAGTGTATAATATTAGCTAATCATTCTGTGTCTAGAATAATAATACTTTGTTTTGATATAGTATTGAGTTTTTTACAAGTGTTCAAAGTGCATACCTCTATGGCATGGTGATGGCATTATTTTTTCGCAACCATAAATGTTGTCTGCTGGAAAATTATAAACGAACAACGATCTGTCAAAACACTCAAAACCGAGTATGTGTAGAACCAAAAGTAATTGATCCATGTTTGTTGAACTGTGTTCCTCGATTAAAATCCAATTTGTCAGTTGGTAATTATGTCCTACATAATCAAATAAATTACCGGGATCTACTTCAGTATCAGGCATTAAGTGAACTGGGTGAGTTTGTGTAATAAATATAACTTAGAGTAGGGCCTAGGACTTTTTAAACAAACACAATGCTTGTCTATATTGACGTTATATTTACTATATTATATTTTCACCCTTAAATATGTAATAGTTTCAGATGATGGAAGACTTACTTTTACAAATCGCTAATGAAGCAAGTGGCCAAAAGTTTACCGACTTGAAGAAAGCATCACAGGATGCATATGGTAAGGACACATCTAAAAAAATATGATGATTCCATGATTTAGTCTAATATTTAAGGAGGAGTTGAGCCTTACTTAAGCTTTGATATGTTTGTAATGGATCATGATTAATCCAAGCTTATCTGATTGTCAATGGTTAATTAATTTGCACCATTTATTCATTTTACACTAGCCTAAGTTAAATAAATAACATTCTTGATTTCACTCTCACACAGCTTTTAGGATTGGCTAGGCTTACTTGACATATCTCTCAATCAGATTCTGATTGCATAACCATTTGACCAGATAAATTGACGAATGTTGGCAATTCTCAAGAAGGCTACAGTTAGGGTTTACTGATTTAGAAGCCGCAGAGAAGGACAGTACCAAGAATATAGTGAGTGATAAAATGGTATTATGCACAGCTGAAGTTGTGCGTGTACAGATTTGTTCTCAATACCAAAATCCACAATACCATTAGGCCTACATTGTTTTCACCTATAAGGGTACTTACCTAACCTCTAATCAGGCCTGCTTTTATAAAGGGGCAGACTGGGCATATGCCCAGGGGGGCCTGGCGGGCGCCGTACAACAACTGCCCGTAAGCACTAGGAAAAAAGGGGGGCGCTGATTTTGATTTTGCCCAGGGCTCCACTAACTCTTAACGCGGCCCTGCCTTTAATTGGCGGAATTCCTTTCAGATCCATTCTTATACCTTGCTAATGTTGCTGCCATTGAAACTCAATGGTGACAAACAATTATTCATACCTTCAGGAAATGATTTAATAGGCTAAGTAAGTTAAAAAACCAATGTTAAAATGTGATACCCTAAGTAAATGATATCAAAAACTGTTCCAGACTTTTTGGAATCCCAACAAGGACTAATTAGAGACCCAGCACATGAATTACGAGCAAAATGTCTTCACGCTTTCAAACTGGCTTTGGAAACCAAACGAAGCAAGTTTGTTGCATTTGGACTCACCGGTCTTCACGTAAGTCAAATTTCATAACTATGTACGGATGAAATTTTATTTGTAAACCAGAAGTTCTGCTGTAGGGCCTAAGTTAAATAGGCCTACTTTAGAAGAAACCATCATTTACTTGAGACTAATGATTTCAGCAGTTTTAATTAACTTAGTGAACTTCAGAAAGTTAAATTTGTTGGATAGGATAAAGTTTCCTCACTACTGTATAGTAAGTTAACCCCTTATTTTTTCCAAACAAGTTTGTACCGTTACCTATAGGCCTAAGCTGTAGTCTAACTGATAAAACCCTTTGATCTTTTGATCTTTTACTTTCATATTGGCCAAGCAAACAAAAATATTTTAACTTTAAATAAGTTGACACAATAAACTTCAATCAGGCCTACTTTATTGCTGCAAAGTTATAGGTAGGCCTAGTTTGAGTGATCAAATATATATTTTTTCAGAGGTTACTACGAGATGACCGTTTCCAATCCAACTTTGAACCCGAAGATGATTCATTGTGGCTGCCATCACAACTACTTCATGCGATATCATCCTTTCCCTCCCAGTCAGATGACACCCAAGTAGATATGTTGAAGGTAATTTGCATTGTTTAATGATTTATTATAACAAATTTCCAGGTCTATAGTTGTACGTTTTCCTCCAGTTTTGATGGATGAAAATTCCTCCAGGTTTTTTGGACGTGCAATAACTTGGATGGTTTCAAAGTGTAGATTAGTCGTCCGCACTTAATTTGCTCGATGTCAGTCTCTATTCTGTCTTATGTTGTCCAATTGATTTTAATTGGTGAAGCCTCCTAAAAATATAATTGTGATGCCAATAGAAGAAAAACGTAATTCAATCTAGGCCTACTATGTTGTGATTAGCAAATTACTGGTGTGTTACTATAGTGTTAGCAAAACGGGAGTGCCGATAGAGACGAGGTCAAGTTCCTTCAAACGCACGCACCCCCCACAGGTCTCCATTGGCACTCCTGTTTTGCTAACACTATAGACAGGTAGCCTAAGGTTTGGTTGTGATAGGCAGGCCTACATAGGTTCGTACACAGTTATAGAATTTTACATTTTGCTTAGAACAATCTAAGAAAAAAATAGTTTTAAACCATAAGGTGATACATTTTTGCTGGGATTCTGATAATATAAATTACTAATAGGCTTTGTAAATTAAAAAATGATTTCTTCTTACTCTCAATCAGTGACTTACTGTAAGTATACATTAAAAACCATATAAAATAATTTTGTGTAGGTCCTACTCAATGTGGCTTGTTCGTCATACTGGACCATGAACGGAAGAATTATCATCCAGATATTAACCTTGTGCAGTGAAGCCTACGAGTCCGGCAACCAAGCCATCAGAACCGCGGCTCAGGCAGCCACCAGCCAGACTTTGCGCTCCTTCTGTAACATGCTGGGTTTGTAGATTAAATATTGCTCTTTAACGTGCTATAACAAGGTTTGTACATTTTACATGATCCTATAACCATCAGGATTGTCTGTAAATTAAGGTTTCCTTCTGTCGTAGCCCAGCGAGCTAGATCAAATCTGAAACCATTGTCATGTTCTTTACTTTATCCACTACTGTTCTAGCTGAATCCCACCCTCTAGGGGGATATTAGTATCACCATAATATGAAAACACAGTGAAAAAAACTAACACTTCTGCCAAGTATGAATCACGTTTTGTGATTGAGTTTTTTTGCCGAACACAAAAAATAGGCTGTAATAGAGGGAAGTTTCTGGTTAGTGTAAAAACACCAAACGAGCCTACAAAAATGGAGGAAATGTCCGCTTCCTGTCTGACTACTACATCTACTGTACAAGCATTGTGCGTATATGTCTGTCATTCATCTTACGATTAAAGTGAAGTAGCCTAGATATATGAGTCACCCGTTCAAGACGGGCTGACACCTTCTGGATTGAAAACCATTAGCCAAACGTTACTGGGCCCTTGGAAGTAAATAGTAAATTCTAACTCGCACTAAGGCAGGCAGTTAAAACAATGTATTCTCAATAGTAGTCGACTGGTCTTATTGATTATACTTTGCAGATGAAGAATCCCAAGAAACCATTCAAAGCTCACAGCTCAGGGAGGTTGGAAGTGGAGGCATTGACTGCTTCAATGAAGTGATTCCTATCTTACAATTCATCTGCAGCAAACTCGACGAAGCCCAGAGGTAAATAAAGTATAGGCCTACTCAAAGTCATACCTAGTTTAAATTTTTGTCTCATTGAACCCACCAGTTCAGCTTGTTTGCTGTCTCATGGTACAGCATTGGTTGTTGTCGCACATCCTATTTCATGCTACACAGTCATTGGTTTTATGATTTATTGTGTTGGCAGCACTGACCGCAGCAGCCACAGTGTTGTGTTCCTACTAGAATGTCTACACACGTTGGTGTCCAGTCTACCTCAGAGTATCCACGCAAATCGTCACTTCACTGCTTTTCTCTGGCAGAAGCTATGTCCAGCCTTGATAGCGTTCCTGGGATCCCCTCGTGTCGACAAGAAGATAGTCTCACGCCAAGTAAGTAGAAGTTGTTAAAATGTGAGGGTTTGATTTACAGCTAAATTTAAATACTAGATCTTATTTATTGTTTCCTTGTTTGGAAATTAAATGGGTTAAATAAATCCTGGAGCAAAATAGCTGGAAGGTGGAAGATAAAATTAGTTTTTAGATCATAATAAAAATAAAATGGTTATATTTAATATGCTGTACATCCGATGAAATAATGAGTCAATGTATCTGTGCGCAGGACCGGCCAGCCGGAGGGGAAGCTGAAGTAGGCAGAGGCTCTGGTGGTCTCCCGTCTGCTCCTAGTTTTGACACTTACCAAGCCAAGACAGTCTATAGGTAAGTTATGGGCCTACTACAACAAAGTCCTAATCTAATAATCCTAGTTGAAAATCATTGATGTTTCCTTACCTCATGTTTTTTCATTGTTTGTAAATACACTGTTTTTAAAAATTGATTCATATCCTTTTACAAACTTTAGGACCAAAATTATGTTTTGTGAAACTAACCATAATTTAATTTACCATTAGACGTCAATTAATAAGTCTTTTCTTATTGCCATAAGACAAAGAGTACAGTAAGCCCCCCCTTCCCCCAAATAACTGACTAACATTAGATATAAAATCTAATTGCAGTTTCTTTCCTAAGTTCCACACTAATTTTGTCAGTAGTATCCTTCAGGCCTGAGTGAAAATTTAAAAACGTACGTTTTCAGGAAAAGCACTTTGCAATTTTTTTCCCCCTTTTTTCAAAACTTTTATTATTATTTTTATTTCATTAACATTTGAAGTTTCATAAAATGTCCATGGTAACGCAATATCTTTGGTATTTGTTTTTTAAAGAGCATCTTTAGTGGAAAAACACAAAATCCTGTCACGACCATAACAGACGTTTAAATGAATATTAAAAATAGTTAATATTATTTTTATAACTATGTTTTGCTATAAACTAATTTACTTTTATGACCATTATACAATAAAAAGGTCACTGAGCTTTTGGTATATTTGGTCTTTCTAGAAAAAAATTAAAAAACTTAAGAAATTGAAAAAAAGCCAATAAAATCTTTTTAAGTTTGTATAACTCCAAAAAAACTTACCTGAGACCCAAAAAATCGTTATGTTTGTATAGAGGTGTGCTTCTTTTGTGTATAAAACATTGAAATATGACGATATTTTAATTTTTGAAATTTTTATGATAGAAATCATAAACGTGATGGTCAGGGACAAGCGGTACGGTCGTGAATTTTCTGAAATAATCTAAATCTTTCTACACAATCCTTCAATTATACTGTTAGTTATAATAAAAATAAGTGTTTCAATTGAACTAAACTGTTCAAATTACAATTATATTAAAGTTATTGTCACGACCAAACACACTATAATCCATAAGGCTGGATTGGTCGTGAAAAAACCCGCGATGGTCGTGAAACTTTGGTCGTGATATTACGTGTTATTTGGCTCTGTTCTGGCGGTAGCCCTGCACCTCATGTTCGAGGATACAAAGTGAACTTCTAGGTTAATCTAGCAATTGAAATATCTTATAAACAAAAATTAACACCATGTCTACTTCATCGAATGACTACGTACGGTCATGGACACACCAAAATTACAAAAAACACAATCTTTCCTTTATTAATCTTGTAATTCCTCCTTTCAACTCGAAACGACCGGCACTACAATCCTGACGTACACCCCGAACTAGTCTCTAAAACCAACTGACTCCATCGACGCCAGGCTTGCCACTGTCGTGCTCCAAAGTTGAAAATTTTTCCCAAATGGTCGTGACGCTAAATCGAGGGACAGACTTATTTTGTCATGGTAGTCAGTTTGCAATTACAATAAAATTATAATATGCTCCTTTTTTGTAAGTTTAATAACCATTGATGACATAAAAATGTGGCTTTATATATTTCGGCATGAATAATTAGTCTAAAAACAGTGTGAAAGTTGGAAAATGTACCCTAGGGACACATTATGGTCGTGAATTTCGAGACTTTAAAAATACGAAAAAAATACCTAGAACCCATTTAAAACCAAATAAATGTGTGTAACATGTTGCCCCCGTCCCAAAAAATATTAAAACACATAATAATAAACTACAAATCCAGTATCTACGAAGTAAAAGGCCAGGGACATGAAAACGTACGTTTTTAAATTTTCACTCGCCTACTGTTTCATAAAAAGGTTTGATTGCCAAAATGCTCTTAAAGGGTTTTTTTTTTTCAGAAACTTGTTTTTACATGTACATTTAAATTTTATTGCCACAGAATTATTTACTGGTACACAGTCTGCAGCTTACAATAATGGTTTTGGTTTTATTGGATACTTCAAAGTAATAATTTAGGACTGAAAATTCTGAGGGTAATAATTACCCTCAGAATTTTCATATTATTAATTATTTATAATATCTAACTTTAGTGTTGTGGTCAATATTCTACATTGTTCATCTATAGGTCGGCTGGTTAGAAAGCGACCTTCTCGTAGCATTGGTGCGAGAGGGAGATAATGAGCTGTGGGAGTGAGACAGACTATGGCTCTTCCCCCACTCCGCTGCCGCCCCGCCCCTTAAATATTAACAGCAATTAAATGATACAGCTGATCAAAATTTAATCAATTACATTCTTCATAGCTTGAGAAAAATAGGTCCTACAAAAAAAATGTATAGCCTAAATCAAATCAAATCAAATCAAATATGCTTTATTCATAAAGTACAGTTTTGTACATTGAATGACGTCAACTAAATCTATCTTAAATTAATAATTTACAAATTTGCATATCTTGGATCATTATGTACTAAAAACCAAGAACCAGGAAATGAAAATAATCAAAACTGAATTAATTACTAACGCTAAGAGGGGAGGTGGAAAAATACTCTTCCAGGGAATAGAACGCTTTCTCTACTAAAACAAGTTTTAGTTTTCTCATGAAATTCTTTCTTCTTTGTTCATTTCTGATTTCATTAGGAAAATGCTTAAAAAATTTTAATCCTATATATAGGATGGTTTTTTTCATAGAATTTTAATTTGTGTTTACTTGAAATAAGGAATTTTTTATGCCGAGTGTTGTATGGGTGATAATTTGTCTCAGAGATGCTCAAGCAGTTTTTTGCTAGAATAATAATTGTGTCGTAAATAAATTGGCCATATACCGTTAAAATTTTCAGTTCTATGAAATTGTTTTTGGTTGTTTCGTTGTGTTCTAATTTTAAAATTATTCTTATTGCTATTTTTTGAAGTTTAAGTATCCTATCCAAATTTGCTATTGTAGTTGAACCATAAAGGCACTAACCATAGGATAAATGCGAATGGACATTAGCATAATATATATTTTTTAATGTTTTATGGTTACAAAAATAAGACATTCCAGAGAGTGAATATAGTCCTGAACATAATTTTGAAAGGAGTTTATCAAGATGTTCATCCCAGTTTAAATTTTGGTCCACAATTAGACCTAGAAACTGTGCACTGTGTTTATGTTCAATTTCTTCTGCATTATACATGATATTTGGTTAATTAACTTTTTATTTTGATTTGTTTTAAAAGTTAAAAAAATAGTTTTTTTGGGATTAAGCTTCAATTTATTTTGCTCTAGAAAGTTTCCAATGTTTGCCAATTCAACAAAACTTAAAATTTCAACTTGTTGCACTGAGTCAGCCGATACTTTGAGATTTGTATCATCTGCATAAAAACAAAGATTGTTCTGAGGCAAACATGAGAGTGGACCGCAAAATCGCATCAATATTTGAGCATCATGAAATATTATTATATCATTGTGTAAGCAGTTCCATTTGGTAACACAGGGTTCCAACTCCCACGACACCGGGGTGGCGCCGTGTCGGTGTCGTGCCGGTGTCGTGTCATGCAGTGTGAAAACGGCCATTCCATTGGCGGAGAGGCGGAACATTCCCTTCCCTCGCCGTTGCCTCCCATACATGCGCTAAAAATTTCACGCAGGTCGTTTTCTAAACGGCCGACCTATAGAATATCTTTTGCCTTAGGACAATTTGTTGTTGCTAAACGACTCTTTTGACTGTCCAAGATAAATGATTGATATTTTCCCCCAGTATTGGCAGTCAGTTGGTGAGACTGGTAGGATGCGTAGGATCTCTGCGACCAGTTCTGGAGTCAGTCTACTACCGTATGCTGCTCTACCCTCCTCCTCAACACAGGCTAGAGGCACTCAAAGCCTTAAGAGAAGTGAGTGAGATTAGATTTTGTGTGTACTTGGTTCCAAGTAGTTTTAAATTCTTTTACATTTTTAAACACTGTCGTTTTTGCACCTACACTTAATGGATTCAATATAATGACCCCACTCATCCCAGGGATTTTCTAGAGTAGAAACCTTCAACAAGTTGGTAGATGATTCATGACATAACTTCATCACAGCATTAGTAATAGTTTGACTAAAAACCCAAAAATGTGTAAAGATCGGTAAAGCATTGTTTGCTTGCTAAAATTCATCCTTAACCTGAAAAATAATTGATTCCTAAGACCTATATAAAAATAATTTCAACGGTAAATTACCCGTTATATTTGATTTTATTCTTCTTAGTATATTCTTGTCGAGGCAGTAGGCTTTCTACATTGGAATACTCTGTCAATGCACAAGAAACACAAAAATACCATAGGCCTACACAATAACTATAGAGCAATAATTTCCTGTCGTTCAAGTGTGACTTGGGCAACAGAAAATAGAAAAGCATTCTATTATTGTGTTTGTGTAATGTTTTTTGGGTTTATTTTGCCACGATGTACTATCCCATAAAAAAAAACAAAAAAACAAATTCAAGGGGTAATTCACATAATTGAGAGCAGTGTTGGGAAGTAGCGCGCTACAAGTAGCGACGCTACAGTAGCGCGCTACTTTTTTTGTAGCGTTAGCTGTAGCTGCGCTACTTTTAAGATTTTGTAGCTTTAGCTGTAGCTAGCTACATTTTTAAAGTAGTTGTAGCGGAATTTTAGCTACTTTTCTCGCTACATTAACATTTGTTTGAGATAGTGATTTTTATCATAACCTACAACCTTACGTGAAACAACCTCTTTCAAACTGAGATTTTCAAAAAAATTAGGCCTACTTTCTTTGCTTCAAACAGCTGGTTGCAGCCGTTTCATTCCCTATTACAACGTTGTGTGGACATAGAGGCCATTAAATGAGTGTTATCCACATTTTTGGCTCTCATTTCCTTAATTTACTACTCTATGATTACTGTCAGATAAAATAAAATCGCTAGATGCAGACGACGTTTAAACGGTACCGGTGACAAGAGAAGCTATTGAATTGAATGCTTGCAAGTGATTGACAGGACAGGGGAATTAGTAATAGTAATCAATTTAGTTTCTTTATTATATCGATAATGCTTCAACTTGGGGTTTAATGGAAACCAACACACCTTGAAATAATGAGAAAGCTGGTCTATCAACCTTTGCTTCAGCTGTTGATTGTGGTTTATCATCACAAGCCCTTCCTTGGTTAGATTACGAAGATTTTTCAAAGGTTTACTTAATTAGCAAAGAGGAAATTACCTGATGAGATTTAAGATATGCCTAGACTACATGATAATTGTAATTAAAAAATCTCCATATAACATGAAACTTACATTGAAATAATTTATTAATAAAAAACTTTTTTAAACAAAACGTTTTTAAACGTCCTAATAAGTAGAAAATAATTTACAAATAATTTATAAATATGTTGAGAGAGTATAAATACTTGTACGATTTAAAACGAAAAACGTTGGGTGCATGCAATTAATTGATAATAATACATTAGTTCAGTAGGTGAAGGTAAACTATCTATTGCATGCACCCCACGTTTTTAGTTTTAAATCGTACAAGTATTTATACTCTCTCAACATATTTATAAATTATTTGTAAATTATTTTCTACTTATTAGGACGTTTAAAAACGTTTTGTTTAAAAAAGTTTTTTATTAATAAATTATTTTCTATTTTTTTAGTTTTTTAATGCGTGAGGATGTTAAATCTATTTCAAGCATCTATATCAGATTAAGACAAAGGCATGTGGGAAATCTAAGGTTTATTTGAGTTTCTTTTCATATAATTATGTATTAGATTGAATGTATGCCCTACCTACTAACTATAAATATATCAATCTATTTAATTTATTGTTTACTTTATAGAACATTAAATAAATAACAATTTACATTATTAACAAACATCTTTATATCTGCAATCAGATTGTTTATCTATATTTTGAAATATTTGTATAAAGAATCTCTTGGGAGCATAACCTGTACCTCTTAACCTCTGCTCTTTGAACTGTCAAATTTAAGTATTTACAGCTGACTTAAATTAATTGATATATTTATTTACATTCTTTCAAAATGTAAACATGAAAAATTTGGAAGCCCATGGGGCGTAGCCCAAGGGAAATATGAAAATTAAATGATATAATATCGCATTGTCATGCCTTTGTGAGCTATGTTTCAAATTTCAAGTCTCTAGCTTATCGGGAACATCGTTTAAAATTGATATCAAAATTTGTAGGAAAGCGAGCTAATAAAAACAAGCCCATGGGGCGTAGCCCGAAAGGAAATATGAAAATTAAATTATATAATATTGCAATGTCATCCATTTGTGAGCTATGTTTCAAATTTCAAGTCTCTAGCTCATCGGGAAGTATCAAAATTTGCAAGAAATCGATTTAATAAAAACAAGCCCATGGGGCGTAGCCCAAGGGAAATATGAAAATTAAATTGTATAATATTGCATTGTCTTCCATTTGTGAGATATGTTTCAAGTTTCAAGTCCCTAGCTCATCGGGAAGTTAGTATAAAATCGGTTGCAAAATTTGTAGCGGACAAGAAAGCGACCTAATAAAAACGTTTTAAAAATAGCATAGTTTGCTCCTGCTAACAGCTCTTGTATAGGACTGAGGCTATGGTTTAAGACGAATACCAAGTTCAATTATTATGAATATCTGTTTAGTCCTTGCAAGAACAAGCCTACTATAGCCAACTTGTTACATAGCCAAGTAGGCCTACATGTTATTTTTACTTTACAAATTTCATCATGTTTAAATTAAAAGCCGATTTCAGGATAAGTTGCTGAATACTGTTTTCTCTACCAACTAGGTTGAAGCACAATTTGCCCTATGCATAATGACAATAAAGGACGATTTCTTGACATTGAAAAGTGTTATTCGTAGAATAAGTAATTTATCACTTTAAAATCTATAGCAATGTTTTTTTTTACATTAAAAGTAAAGAAAGGCAATAAACTCCAATTTCAGTAGGCTAGGCTCTGTAACACAAAAAGTATTTTTAAATAATCTTTTTGCAGTTTTATTGGTCTTAATTGTTGATATAAAACATCTATAAATGAATCTATATTAAATTAATAAAATTAGCTTTTAAAATATAGTTTGGTTGTATGTCCTTTGAACTTAATGAAAATTACATTTTAAGATGCTTAAAAATAATGCAATATTTAAAAATAATTACTAATTATGATGGGACACCCAACTATTTGGTTTTGTTGTTGTAATGTTAGGTTTATAATGCCAACAAATTAAATACAATCTAGGAATAATTTGTTTTCCAAGTAATGTTAGATACAATACTGACATTTTTTTAAATGTTTGTTCAATAAAAATGTAGTTGCAATTAATTTTACATTTACCTAATGTGCGTGGAATAAAAATTAACGTCTTTGGAAAAGTAGCTAAAATTGTAGCTGTAGCTACATTTCATTGTAGTTGTAGTTGTAGCTAGCTACTTTTTCGGAACTGTAGCTGTAGCTGTAGCTAAGCTACTTTTTTGGAAATGTAGCAGTAGTTGTAGCTAGCTACATTTTAAAAGTAGCTTCCCCAACACTGATTGAGAGTGTGTTTGGGTAACAAAACAAACAAATCAGGCCATGACTCACAATCTACTGGCAAACTCCACATGTATGCAATCAGTAATTAGTACCTATTACTTGAATAACATTTTTGCAAAAACATGTTTATTCTTCCTCGTGTTAAAATGTGATTTTAATACATCACTTAAATTAAGAGGATTATTCATAGCCTGGAATTCAGTTTAAGAATGAATCATTGTGGGTTCAAAACCATTGGCGGTCATCAGTCATGATCCAGGTATTTTAAGCTTTTATTATTTAAACAATAATAAATTGTTTGTTGTTTTGGCTGTCAGCTTCTCCGCAGCCCTAGCAGGATGGTGGACTTTGCTGGACCAATCTTGGTGGAGGATGAGAAGGGCTGTCAACAGAGTGATATGGCATTGACTAGACTGTGAGTAAGACTACCTGTAGTAGCTTAGGTTCAGAAGAAGAATGTAACACCTTAAAATTTGATAATAGAACAAAAGCTTATAGGCACTTAAATGTGTGTAACAAAATGCTTGTGTGTTGGTTGCAAATTGTAAAGTTTTACCTTCCAAAAACCTTAAATATCCACTGGCTTAATATTTTGAAAACATTCCTTTCAACTTTGATTAGACGTAGTAGAAAACCCCCTTGGAATGTTTGGGTGTTTGTTAATATGGTGAGATACTTAATGCTCCAACTTCTGTACACAATACTTGATTACCTCGTTGTACAGGTTCGAACTTGTGTAATTTATTAAGGAAGAATAAACTTTCTGTGCCCTACTCACCTTATTTTTGTTATTGTTTCATATTATTCTGTTCAAGTTAAAGAAAACCCCTTCATTCTTTATTTAACACGCTCGCTACCACAATATTATTACATTTTTCATTCATGTTGTCCAGCAAGGCATATATGCGATGTCCGGTTTCTACCTATAGACTGCCGTGGCATATATGCGACGGCTGGTCACATTATAGACTGACGTCTCATATTTGTATCGGTGTCCTATGTTATTAAAAAGCTTATATTTTCGAAACAGTCTACTTGAAGGTCCTGAATTCTCTGCAGCGGTCTTCAGAGATGTCTGTCGCATATGTGTGTCAATTGGTCTGTGGATTTGATCAAAAGTGACGTTTTATGATAGTTGGCAAAACAGATTTTTACTTTTCTGCATGACTGGCCTGTGGTCTACGTGTGCTGTGAACCAAGGGACACCCGGTCTAGATGTGTAATATTAAAAGAATATTAATATTGTTAATATTGAGATAGGCGACGATTCGTATACATAGATGGAGTCAATAGCGATGAGGTGCCTGTTAACTATGGGGTGATTCAGGGGAGTACCCTTGGGCCTATTTTATTCCTAATATATATAAGTAATATTTCTAAATTACCAATTTTCGGAAAAATGTTTCTTTTTGCAGATGACACAATGATTTATGTTAAGGATAAGACATGGGATGGTGTGAAAAGTAAAGCTCAATCAGATCTCAAATTAGTAAAAAAATGGCTCGACCAAAATGTACTATCTCTTAATGTTTCCAAAACAAAATTCATGCCTATTTCTCTCGCGTCAACAGCTGACTATAACCTAACCAATTTGATCTTGCACAGTTGTCTCAACCAACTCAATAACAGTTGTTCGTGCGATACCTTAGAGAGAGTTAACTCATATAAATATTTAGGAATAATTTTTGACTCGCATATGAAATGGATAGAGCATATTAATTTCTTGCAAAATAAAACTAGAAAACTTATATTTGTATTTAGACAGTTAAGTGGTGTTCTCAGTTTTAAAGAAATTAAATCAACATATTTTGTATATGTACAGTCGGTTTTGTCTTATGGCATATTAGCTTGGGGAGGGGCGTACAGTTCACATCTCACAGGTCTGGTTCTGGTTCAAAAGTCTATCCTAAAAGCTGGTTTCAAAAAGTGTAAAAGATACCCCTGAGATTTACTATTTCATGAAACTGGAATATTCCCCATTGCAAAATTGTTTATCAAAGATCTTCTAATTTTTATATTTAAAAACTTCAATTCAATTTTTACTTCCATAACCCACACTCATAATACAAGATATGCAAATAGAATTGGAATTTCTACTATTCAGCAGCACAAATCCTTTTCAAAAACAAATTGTTTCTACATAGCACATATTTTGTTCCGGAATTATTCCACTATGTATAAAGCAACTCAGTTATTTCATTCTCCTACATTAGGTGTATTCAAAAATCGAGTTAATAGATGGTTATTGGATATCAGCGATGAAGAGGCGAGGCTCTTATCACTATTGATAACAGGAGACCTGCCACTGTCTGACAGCACTGAAAGGACAGGGCCTCTGCAAACTCTTGCAAACAACAAAATTCTTTTACATTTTATTTATTGGCTTCCCCTTCAAACAATTCTGTTAATAACAATTTAAATTAATATTTACTCCAATTTTTTATATAATATTTAAACTTATCTTTATCTTTACACGTTCCCATAGCACATAGTACATTTTTATTTAATTTTAAACTTTTTCTTCAATTGCAAATTAGCTCAAAAAATATATATATTTTTTAACAACTCGAGTCTATGCACAGACCACTGAGGTCTATGTAGACTCATTTCCATTATCTATTACATTAGTTATTATTCAAGCCGGAGCAAACATTCAACTAGTATTTAAGTTTTTACTATTATAACTTCATAAATTTAATTTTACTAGAATTAATTTACGTAAACAATTTACTGTATAATGCTTCAAGACTATATATATTTGTATTTTATTTTTTTGAAAAATTGTAAATTTTTTTATATATTGTGGAATCAAAACTGATTTGATTTGATTTGATAAAATGCATACCTCGGTCCATGGCAATGACCATAGCGTCGCATATATGTGGCGATCGGTAGAGAACATGCTAAAAGTCAACTTTATGTTTGTAAGTGTTAAGCACCACATCTCCAACATAAAAACCTAAAAATTGGAATTTAATTTCCATCATATTATGTAAAATTTAAGAAGTTTTTAAGTTAAATAGATTTCAAGCTAAAATGTAATAATTGCCTAGTAAATTATTGATTAGGCCTATATGGAATTACTAAACATAAAGTAATAAATTTTCCTTATGTAAAATGTTTTAAATGTAGGCTAATTTAAACTAAATAATTTAATGGAAAAATTGAAAATCAGATTAAAAAAAAGTTTTTAACTGTATCCTCTATCCGTCTATAGTTTCACTCTCACATTCTGAATATCTAAATAGCAATGGTGGAATGCTCGCTTAACATTTCATTGGGTTTGAAAAGAGATCAAAATTTACTAAAGTCTGCTGAATCCGTCCTTTTCAATTAGCTGATTATGAGTCATTGGTGTTTTGTTTGGGATAACAATTGAAAATGCACAACAGTATTTACAATCCGGTGTTTTTTGTTTATCTTCAGTGACCAATCCCGAATAATATTTCTGTGGCCGGTCTTTTGTTTAGAGAACTACAGTAGTGATAATGATTCCATTGTAGAATATTTCTTTTGTTACGTTTCAACTCTTTACACTTTAAGCCATGTAGGCTAGTAAAATAATCTAAAAAATAATTTAATATGTAAAAAATTTTTGAACTAATTTTAAAAACAAGTATTTTAAAATTATGCATCCTAGTTAATTAGGCTATTTCATTTGTTAGTGAAATGGACAAACTAAACGTTAATTATAGTAAAATAAAATGTTTCTCCTAAATATGTGACATGGCGCATTTAAGCTATATTTAACTTTTAAATTGACTACCGGTACATGTAGGCTACAATAATTGATGCATTTTATTTTTATCATTAATTAATTGTTTCTTTCTTCTTTCTCTAAAATTTGAACCTCCAGACTGTTTGATTATAGTGTCCAGCAGATCCAGTGGTCAAAAATGAGGTTTAGATTATCACATAAAAACTAGTGTAGTCCCTAATAGTCACTCATATCCCCCCCACCCACCCCCCTCCCCAAATATGACGGCCTACATCATACAACAGCTTTTTTATGTTCCCTGTCCCGCTCTAATGGTGTCTTTGAAGAGACATCTTAACTCTTAAGTAATTAAAATTTCAAAGATAATATGTTGAATTTCAAATTTTAGCACGTTTACTGCGGTTGTGTGATGGCTGGCCGGGTTCGGGAATAGCTAATGTGCTGCGTGAATGAATGAAAATGTGAATGTGTCCAAAAATGTTTAAATTTATTTTCATCCAATAGGATAGGCATAATTATACAACACACTACCCTCGTTGTGGACACAGTTTTACAAGAAGAAGCCACTAAACAAAAGTGCTAACGGGGCCTCAGTACTGCCAAATGGAGGGAAAAAAGGCAAAAAAGGTGTTTAGTACAATTTTGAGGTTAGGTTCTTTCACAATACTACACTACACTGCAAACTACAATCATTTTTGTTATTCTCTGCAATGTCACTAAATATAAGCCAAAATCACACACTACACTGTTCAAAAAAGCACAGCACAGTAAGGTACAATAAAGGTCAATCTGGAAACGATTTGCACCTAAATGACGTACGAAACCAGCACTAAACGCGGTGACAGTACAACATTTACCGCAGAATCCAGAAAAACAATTGAAAAAAAAGATAATTGTAGTGGATGAAATTGAGGCAATGTTAGTGAGGGAAGCGCATCGCTACATTTATACTTTATAGTAGGGCGCAATGCGCATGCCATGCTAGTGCTCAGGTGCTACAACTATAGTAGCCCGCAGCAAACGTGTCATATGTAACGTGTCTTATGTAATTTTCAAGACCTAGGTTTGATGGATCTCAGACTTGTTACTTCTTTTTACCAAGACTGACTTTTCTCATTCAGGTATGCCTGATGAAAATCCACAAAATAACCTCAGTAAAGTTTAGTAAAAATTGTATCCAATTTTTTTTTCAAGTTGCTCCAAGATTTTCCTCTCTCCTTTTTATGGCTTATCTTACATCAGTGATAGATTATTATTACTATTTTCATAACTTACTGAGCTTCGTTAGATTATTTTAGCCGGTTTATTCTTAAGTTCATCAACCTTTACTCGTTTTCTCAGTTTATGGATTCATAATTCTGTTTCACCTTCCAAAACAATGTTAATATATAAGTTTATTTTTTACTTTACCATGCATCAAGAGTTAACACCATGTAGAGACAATTGAACATCAACATTGACACAATGTTGCAGAGTGATGGACTCCATAGAGGAGTGTAGCCAGTGCAGTGACCCGGCCATGGTGCACACTAGTGCCTCCTGTATAGTTGCTATGTTAGCTACACTGCAGGAGCTGTCCACTGGCAAGGGAGTCACCACCAAGTACATGGACAAGATCAACGCATTGTACCCAACACTCAGACATTGCGACTACAGAGGTATGGCCAGACATTAGTCAGAGTGATGATATTGAATGATTGATGAGTGATGATGAGAATGATTGATATTGATAGAAAATATTCATATTGTAGATTACTAAGAGTAATTGTTATGATGTTAATAAACAACAAAGTTAAGCTTGAAGAAGTCTGTAAAATCTGAGCTGATCTTATTTTAATTCAGCCTTACCATCTTTTAAGTGGAGCTCTCCAATTTTGACTTCTTACGAACATTAATCACATAATTAATTAATCTAACGAAATTCAAATATTTTTATGGTTTACTAAGATCATTTGGCCTAATTTAGAACAACAGTGGTCAAGTAAACGATCTTTAAGCTGTAATATTGCTAGTAACATCGGAGCTTGAAGACGCAACTGAGAATTTGAGTGTTCTCTTAGACATGATGAATGCACTATGGTTTGAGTGTTGACAGCAAAAAATTATTGCAATTGTTAGACAAACTGCGATAGCAACCCTCAATTGATTTGCTTAAATATCAGCTGAATTTTCAACAGTGTTTTCCATCAACAATGCAGATGGTTGACATAGTTGATAATTGCAGAAAACTAGACACACATTATGTAACTATAATACTATATCAGATATGTCTATGACCGCAACATCTGTTGCTGTTCCAAAGATGTCACCTAGTGACACTACACCGCTAACCTTGGTTACAGGTGCCCTGACGTATGAGAGCATGGCCAGACTGCCCCACCTGTACCTGGAGAAGGAGATGAACAAAGACAACACAGCTGATGAGCAGAGTGATAGAGAGAGCAGTAGTAGCAGTGGACACTCGTCTGGGCCTACCGAGGGGCCGGAGGAGGACTATCAGATAGACTCTGATGTAATATGATTGTATAACTTTTAATGCAGGGATTTTAATTGTTTTCACCTTTTAAATTGATGGACCTGAACATTAATTTGGGTTTTATAATTCTGAACACAGCGTCACAGCATTATAGCTTAGCTAAAGGCCATAGAGGATTGACTGATAGTTGAACGTGACCCTCCAGAGCCAGAGCGGCCAGAGTCTAGGACTGCAACCTTTCAATTATATGCTTATATTGATCTGATAGTTGGATTTTTTTTATTTACCATCCTAATCAATCTAATTGTAAGTAGGCATTTATCTTAAGTTTTAAGTACGAGGGCTATCCAGAAAGTGACAGATGTAATATGTCGTCAATAATTTTTGCTGACGACTCAACTTTTTTTTGTAATGATGTCAACATTGAAACTATTAAGGGTCAGATGGAAAATTGCATTTCTGAATGTAATATATGGTTTAAAAGTAATGGTTTGTTGTTAAATAGTAGCAAAACCCAGTCTATTTTGTTTAGCTTAAGAAACAGGAATCTTAGCTTATCTTATGTGAATGAGAATGTAAAACTGTTAGGAATACATTTAGACTTAAAACTCAATTGGAATTCCCACATAAATAATGTTACAAGTAGACTATCAAGAGTAGTTCATCTTCTTCGAAAACTAAAAACTTGTATACCAAAATCCTACTTGAGAATGGCTTACTTTGCTTTTTTCAATAGCATTATAAGCTATGGTATACTACTTGGGGCTGTGGCCATGGCATGAAAAGAGTCTTGTCAAAGCAAAAGGAAGCTATTAGAATAATTACAAGTTCTAGTTACCATGCACATTGTAAACCACTTTTTGTCCGTGAAAAAATTTTAACTGTTTATAGCTTGTTTATTTTTAAGTGTTTGTTACATGTAAAAGCAAATCTAGGTTCCATAGCTTTAAGAGGTGAAACTCATGTCCATTTAACCAGGAGGAGACATTACTTAGATTTACCTCAAGCAAGGCTTGCAAAAACACAAGAATCCTTTTCTTATCTTGGAATTAAATTGTTTAACAGGCTACCTCTTGAGTCACACCATGTTAGCATGAAGTCCTTTAAATCTAGTCTAATGGCCTGGCTGCTTGAAAACCCGTTTTATAGCTTGGAAGAATATTTTAAATGTTCCAGAATTAATTTAAGTTTTAGTAATTAATTATTGACATTGACTAGTCTTGCTCTGTTATGTTTACACCTTGTTACCTTGTTTATAGTTATATAGATGGCATTGTTGATCTTTAGATATATATTCACTCTTGTTAATTTATTAGTCTTAGTATCTTGACGTCAACTGTACAAGTGTGCAATCTTGTTTCTTGTTGAAATAAATCTTTGAATCTTTGATGTTTTGGCTTGGCGAAGCAGTAGGCAGGGCTAATAACAGACCAGAGATTATTTTTTGAGCGGCCTTCAAATAGGGGTTTGTGGAATCAGCTTGATTAATCCATGGTAATCGGTACATATTGGATTTATTATTTACCTTTCAGCATTCCACTTCATTCACAAGTTTGTGTACAAAGCTATTCAACATTGAACATTGGGGTTTCTATCAGCACTCAGTGGTCCTGTAGTTGTAGTGGATGTTTCAGATGGATGAGCTGGAAGCTGAGGCAGAGAGGAGAAGAGAGGAAAGAGAAGCGCAGAGGTTGGAGAAGCTACAAGAGGCAAAGACAATGCAAGATGAGGACACTCAGTTTTTGGTGAGCTGCTACTCCTAATTACTGTAGCAAAGTGTAGTACTATTCCAACTCAACTTTTAACAATTTCTCAGGTACTCCCAAAGAAGTAATTACTTATCCTTTGTTCAAAGACAATAAAAAAACAAATATACACTTTTCACATTAGCATGTGTTTTCTGAATTCACTTTTTCTGTAGATGCCAGCAGAGTCAATGGATGGGGAGCGCCACAACGCCAGATACTTCATGAGTACCCTGGTCAACCTGGTTCCTTCCTTACTGCCTCTGAGGTCGTCCATCCAGGTGGACGAAGCACTTCAGGAGTTTGCTTCTAAATATTGTCAAGGTTTGTTTTCTAGCTTGTGATGCGTAACTGAGCTCTTAGGTTGAGTGCATCACCTATTCCCCCTAACACTGTCAGGATTAGCAGTTATCTTTAAGGAAAGAATCTATTTGAAAATGTGTGTGCCTTTTTCATATTTAACAAATCTTCCAATCATTGAATCACCGGTCACTTGGCAATGTTTGTTAATTACAGTAACGTATGCTGTTGTAATAATTGTACTTCAAGAAAATTTTACAGATCTTCTAATAAACATTAGAAATATGTTACCAAAGTTTCCTGTTCAGGATTTGTGAGAAGACCTGCCCAGGATATTTTTGTCAAGGTAATTTCACTTCGACATGTCCCATGGAGAATGTGAACCTTAAACCTCATCTTACTTTGATGTGATCTTTTAAATTAACTCCATTAAGAGCAAGCTTTTAAATTAATTAAGAGCAAAAGGTCTTGTCTGCCAATTCTGCTCAGTGCTCACTTAATGATTTGTTTTTGATTGTGATTCTTTGGTTGACATAATATTTTCTCTCGTGTCATTACATTAATAAAAAGTCCAAAGGAAATGTGTGTTAAAACTACAACAAAATAATGTCTTATCTGTTCTAGATGGAAAACGAGAACCTTACAAGGATAATAAATGTTTTCCAGTAAATGGATTGAACCTGTTTGGCTTCATAGCTTTTTAACCATCAATCAGTCTAGGTGTACCATTTTCTTAGCATTCACAACTACACCTAGCTGCTATGAAGGTGCTATGTTGTTTACTACTGGGCAATGACAGTTTTAACTTTTAAACTGGCGTGGCAGAAAAGAGATGTGATGAGCTTTACTTCAAAAGATTGAATGACTAACCGCAATACTTGACATCAACCATCTTACAGTGTCATTTCCTGCTACATAAGCGGTTTACGTCTGTGTAAAATAACCGTAGGTTGAACAAAATATTTTTCAGAACAATACGCGAGAAAAGACTTCAATGGTACCATCATGAACGCTGATGGAATCTACCTCGCCACCTACGCCGCTCTTCTGCTTAACTTGAAGTTAATACAACAAGGATACTACGACAATGACACAAAGAATATTCCCTTGAATGAGGTGAGTCATTTGGAGTTCTATACTTTTGTTCACTTGATTACATTTTTAAATCTATAGTAAGGGAATTGTGTACTATTTAGTATTTAGCACATAATTACTAAGATGATTGCTATGCAAATATTATATAAATTTGAATAAGCTGTTTTATCAACAACTCACTCTTTAATAACACAATACTTCACACTATATAGAACACATAAAACCTTTGGCTATTCAGACATTATGTATAAGTTGTTAATATTGCCAGTTTTTTAGTTCAAAATTGTCCAACATATTGCGCTGATGTAAATTACAGATTTCTGTTTATTGCTTTTATCAAATTCAAACTCATAGGTTGACTGTGAAAGCTATAGTATTCTTTATATTACCTAAACTATATCAGTTACAAAAAATAAGGTAGAAAATAGAATTTTAGACAGCAGCACAACCTGTGACTGGTTCATTCAAATTGATTATTAGACAAATTGGCAACATCTGCTACACATAGATTGAATGACTATTTCAGAATTCCAAAAGTCAAAGCATACATCCATTTGACCATTGGAACAATAGTCAAATATATAACATGAACAATATGAAATTAGTAAATAAACCAATACTAAAACAAAACAGCTGTAATTTGTCTTCCAATCAATTCAATAACAACAAACTTTACACTCATACACTTAACACAAACACACAAGAATATAATATTATTTTTCAAGCAAGAAAATTACCTGTGAAAATCTTAACCCACGACATAGTAACAATATCATATAATGGATCATACAATCTACCCACTTTGTGCTTACTGCAAAGGACCCATACACGATGTCGTCGTAAACGCATTAGGGCAAACTTATCATGAGCATCACTTTTTGTGTGCTGAATGTGCAAATCCAATCAAAGGAGGAACATTTAAATTGCACAATAATCAACCATTCTGCATTGAAGACTATGATAAACTCTTTGCTAAAAGATGCACTGCCTGCCAGGGAATCATCAAAGATTTTGTTTTGACCGCCAATAATAAATCATACCACAGAAACTGTTTTGTTTGCACAAATTGCAAGATATCGCTTCATAAAGGGTTTTATGAAAAGGACGACAACCCTTACTGCCAAGATTGTGCAGTTTCTATGTTTAGTAATCGCTGTAAGTTCTGCAACCTGCCTATTCAGGGATTGGCCTTGAACGTCATGGGGGGAAAATTCCACCCGAGTTGTTTCAGATGCCACAAATGTGAAGAGCCTATCAAAGGAGACACTTTCAAGTTGGAAAATGGCCAGCCTGTTTGTGTTGGCTGTTCTTCTTGATGATTATTAGACAGAAGCAAAAACTAATTTAACAGAAGAACATGGCAATAGTATGTAAATTTAAAAATTACAAATATTTCTATTATAAAACTGTTGTGCTTATTTGGAAATAGCAGATCTATTTGCAGATTTATATGATTTTTCACATTTTGAATAGATTATAAATATATCAAAGTATAACAAATGGCGTGTATCTATTGAAGCCATTCTGAGTAGCTTATAAAATATATTAAACTATTTTTATTTTAAGAATATTGTAACTTAGTGATTGTCACAGTTTCCAATGAACCATTTCTCAGATAGGTAAGCTATATTCAAAAATACATTAACGGGTTTTCTCATATTTACCTCCTCCACAAAGAAGTAAGATGAAGAGGAAACATGCTTATAGAACAACCGTGCGCTTTTAGCTCTGGAATGGTGGGGTGGAAATATACTAGTACCGAGCAAGGAAGAGCCCAACAGCTATTGTTTACAACAGCATTTGTAGCGCACAGGCTCTTCCTACAGTGTGAGAACTGTAGTACGTGATGGCGTGGGGGAAGAGAACGGAAGGGAATATGTACTAGACACGAGGGACTGTGTACCATTGAATGTATCCTTTGTATCTTACTTCTATGTGCCTTCTCACATTATAATGCTTAAGCTAATGCACAGTGGAATAACTTACCCTTTGCCATTGTAAGCTGGGGATGGATGTAGCCCAAATGGTGGTTGGTGAGGCCTCTAACCTAACCTAATAAGGGATGGAGCTCCCTCTCCCACCCTCCTAAACAATCTTCTGCATGCCTACACCTTGGAAAGGATTAAATAGGATCCTTGTTTTTACCGTTTCCTCGTGGAGTGTCTCCGAAAGCTTAACAATGTTGTTGTTGAGTATTTTTGAGTTGTAACCTGTTAATTTTTTCTAGCATTTCGGTTTAGTTTAAGTTTAACTGATAACTTGCTTAACAAAAACAAGAATCTATAATTTTGTAATTGTTTACCGATCAGACACAAAAAAGAGACAAAAGCCTGTTTTGTGTTGAATTGGGAGTTGTTGAAGTTCGTTACGCCACTGTTTAAATTATGCCAATTTTAGTGCAAACCTTGTTTGACATTAACATCAAGTTAATCCTAACCCAACCTAACCTAACCTAACCAGCCTAAGGGAGAGAGAGTTGATGAAATTCAGTACACCACTACTAATTAAAGTTTTGAGTGTGTATAACAATTTTAAAAACTAACATAAGTAAAGCCTGACCTGAGTTAACCAGCCTAATCGCATGTGCCTTGCTAGATGGAGTTTGTACAAGAAGTCCATGACAGCGGAGTGTTGGTCTACCTTAGTGCTACATGGCTGTCAGAGTTGTATCAGCTGGTACTCACTGTCTCTCCTCTACAGAACTACAGTCCAGAGAGTTCCGACACTCCGGCGCTTATAAACTTGTTAACAGGTTGATCTTATAGTCTGGTTGTCACTTTCTGTTCCGCTTATCCATATTGTTTTGCTTTTGTCATCCACAACATTCACTTTGTTTTTGGTTTGCTTTTGTTATCTGTAAAGACTCCACTTGTTTTTTTTGTTTTGCTTCTATCATCTGCAAACACACTGTAAACTGCAAATCGACTTTGTCAATGATATGTAATGTATCCTTATGGCAAATAAAGATTGATTGATTGATCTGCAAAAAAGCCTCTTCACTTTGTTCTTTTACTTTTATAATCTGCAAAATCTCTCCACTTTTGTTTTTGTTTTGCTTCTGTCATCCTCAAAGCCTCTGCACATTGTTTTAGTTTTGCTTTTGTTGTTCCCAAAACCTTTCCTCTTTAGTTTTCAATTTAATTCAGATCCCACACTATACTCACTTTTTCACTGGTGAGAATTTTTATCCCTCCACAGGTGATTTTGATTTTAAAACTTGAGATGACTCATAGTATATGAGTGACTCATTTCTTGATAAGGAATACTTTGGCAACAAGTGTATGTATGTATATATACATACAGTTTATATTAATGAGGTAAATATACCTGAAACAGTTACTAGCCTAAAAAAAGTACACAAAATAATAACAGAAAACAAAACACAGATCTGAACTCTAGCAGAATTTAGTGGCGCAAGAGGTCATACACAGTTTCGTTGTCTGTATTACACGACCTTTAACATTCCAACTGAGTGAAAGAATTAGTGGGGAAGTAGCTATAAAAAATAACCAGTTCTGGTCTTCAAGAACAATGAACTGACGTCCAACTGTGACACTGTTGGGAAAAAAGGTTTGTAAATAAATGGTTAAAACACAATAGACCTTGGTTGGTATCCTTTAGTCTAGGGTTTTATAGCCTGAAACTATTTTTACTTCTCAACCATAAACCTCCACAGATGCAATATGAATAGTTCCTTTTCTCTCAATCTGGTTGCCATAGACCAACTTTTTCTGCTGTGATTATGCCAAAGGCTAAGAGTTATCTTGACATGTTACAGACCTGGACGGCCTAGGCAGCAGTCAGCAAGGTGGACAAATGCTATCAGACTTCCAGAAGCTAGAGAGAGCAACAACGAGAGTGGAGGTCAGCCCAGAGGTTGAGGCAGGTGAGTCCACCAATGTGGGTGTAATTGTACATATATCTAAACATTTGAATACCCAAAGATGCCATCTTGCAAATTAATTACAAAAAAAGGTTAAACTAGATGGTAAGCATCTATGTCCAAAGTAGACTATTGAAGCTTGAGTGATTGAGTTTGTAAAACACACGCTTTACAGGAAACCATCTTTTGACAAATCTATAATTCATGCTAAAAGAACGGAAACAGTTACTAAATAATGGTGTAAATACCTGCATCTATGTGATCAATGTGTTGTTAAAATGCAACCAGTTTCGACTCACAAAGGAGTCATCGTCGAGCCAGTACAGATGTCTTCTTGCTTCATTTGAAGGTCGTCAATTCGTAATAAATAAATACATTTAACACGCACACGTACACGAACATAGAAACGAACATTTAAGGTTAAAAACGAAAGATAATACTATAGCAGTAACGGGACACGACGTGATCGGGCGGGGGTTATGTCTGTACTGGCCCGACGATGACTCCTTTGTGAGTCTAAACTGGTTGCATTTTAGCAACACATTGATCACATAGATGCAGGTATTTACACCATTATTTAGTATTTAAATCTGATCAGGAGGCTAAAACTCAATATAATGAAGGAAACAGTTACATAGACACTGATAGAGAGATTCCACAATACAACTTGTGGTTTCAATTGAAAATGAATGGAAAAAATAATAAAAAGTATAAGTTAAGTTTTTTTACAAGCCTTGAAATAGTTCACTTTTGATTTTCTAACTAGACCTTGTATGCACATTAATCCATTCCTTTTGTATTGTAGTACTCTTAGACTTAAGTTCTCTTGCACGAGTATCTTATATCTGTATGTAACACATTTGTTCAGGTGTGAAGTTGTGTCGACGAGTTCTTACGTGCAGTTGGGACTCGATGTTGACTGTGTTGTCTGCACCGCTGAAGGAGCCGTCCCTGTCCACCAAGGGCTCTCGCAAGGTGTCTGCGATGCTGCTGCTCAGCAATGAGGCAGCCAAAGATGCGCTGCGTAGGGACGCAGTTGTCTGCAGCCTCGATGCGTTGCAGCGTGCGGCAACTCTCAGTAACGTTCTCGGTCAGTAATGGGGAATGTTGAATCAATTTTACCATTATGTACATATCTAAGAGTAAATATTACATTACTGGCAAACAGTTGCTCAAACAGTTGTGGCTTTTAACAGGAATGCAGAGCAGGTGTGGAGGGATATTCTCTCTACTGGCGTCCGCCTCATGTCCTGACGATGGTGATGTTACGCTGTTTCCCCAGCAGAGTTCTCCACTAGCTTTGGCTCTCTTGCAGAGACAAAAGAAGCTGCACGCCTCTCACGCTCTCAGCATGGACGTTATACTGTCCCGAGGTCTGGAGCTCGGCAGTCACGCATCGGACTGCTGGAAGCATGTGTTCAGGTGATAGTCCTTTGTAACTCTTAGAGTGCTATTTTTGTTACATTCCACTTACTTCTTGTGTAATGATCCTGGTGATTAATAGCCTTACCTCTCTTTAAATGAACTGCTTCTTTTGTATCTTTGACTAACTGATGGTATTCATCTCATTCCCATATGAAAGTTGTTGCCTGTTTAAGAATTGATATGGAAATGAACCTTTTGTTGAAAGACACCGACAGAGTCATCAGCTATCGATTACTGTTTTTGGTAGAATACAGGATTACCTGCAGCATGTTGTCAATGATTTGTCTTATGTTCCAGATGCTGCCTCCATATTAGTCAGTTGGAACACAGATTCTTCTCCCAGTCCAGTCAGCCCGCTGGCCTCTCTATGACCAAGATGACCTCTAATCCCAAGCCTCCCTCCACTTCCAGCCTAGACAAGATGTCTGCCGCAGACAGACTCCAGTTCAGCTTCACTCCGGACGACGACGATGAAGTGTGGTGAGATCTTACCATGGTTTTCCTTGTTTTAGTTATAAACTCTCTGTTTAGCTGTAGTATGTTAGTAAACAATTCCTATATTTTACATCAGTGTTAGTTTAGTTTGGTATAACACAAAATGCCAAAAATATTGGGCAGAGGAAACAGATTCGCTTTTTGTTCGGAGATAAATGGTCGTTGACCAGTTAATGTATTAGTTTTTCTTAAATTACAAAAAATAAATATTTTCTAGCTCGTGCTCTTTTTGGTGATATAAAATCTTAAGGAGTGTAGTTTAGTTTAGATTAGAAGGTAAGAAACAAGGCTAAAGTAAAAAAAAAAAAAAAAAAAAACAGTAATCCTTATAAAAAAACCTCAATTTCAATTGTTATGGAATCTGTGTGATTGGCTGTAGAATCTTGTTTTTCATTAGATGACAGCATCGTTGGATACTGGTCAATTCATTTTAACTTTATGAAACCCTTATAATGAATCTTCTTTCAGTCAAATTCCATATTGCATCTTGAAGAGCTACAAGATGTTTATGCATTTACCCTTAAGTGCCTTAGCTATCTATTGCACCAGTCAGAGCCAAGCCTTGACCGTTCCATGTCCTAAATTTCAAATCATTTGTACTAAGGTGGGTCTTTTTCATTAGAATCCGACCCTATTCCTAGGCATTTGGCTGGTGATCTATGACATGGTGTTTTTAAGGGGCATGTTGATTACCTTCTGCTCAACTTCCTTTGTCTGTCTCCAACCTCTCAAAGTCCTATCCACAAGGTAGGTTATTAGAGCATAATAATTGCCTTTGCAATATAAGGATACCATCAAGCGATATCCCTGCCACTGAAGAAGACACAGAGGACTGAATGAAGTAGGGGAAGTTAGTTAGTGAAGCCAAATACCTTCCTACATACAAATGACCATAGGAGTAACTAGTAAGATGCCTTTTCTATGGGTTCAACTTGTTTCTAGCTTTTAACTTTTATTCTTGTTTTTTGTACAGCTCATTTGACATGTAAGCTGGCACTTGACCGATCGCTACTAGCCTAGTTCAAAAACATTAAGTGACATCACACGGTTTGTGTTTTATGTCCTTGCGACCCACCTGAAGGCGCTCAAGTCCGTGAGTCAGCGGAAATGTTTGCAGTCCGGTCTTTTCATTACCTCCACCTTCCCTCCGCCTACACTGCCGGCGCAAGGCCCAAATGCCAGCTTACATGAGCTAGCATGAGCTGTAGCTGTAGCAATATATTATTGTTCCTTCATTATAGTTTTTAGCCCCTGAAGGCCCGAATAATATTATTATGGCACAAACTTAATCAACAGTTTTTAAGTTTGTACAACAACTGGTAGTTTCAGCAACAAATTTGGAGTTATCTTCAGGCTGTCATTAAACAGGAGAGAACGGCCGACAGGTAAACAAAGATTACCCATAAAACACAACATAACACAAACGTGGAAACTATTTCATGGCAATTATTTTATTCGTAGCGGATGCACAAATGTTTGATGAGTTGTATAACGTTGCAGGGTAGATGTATATAGTTTCTTGGCTACCAGCAACACAGCAATCACCACACAAACTGTAGCAGAGCTGATTTGTGAGAGCAAGGTAGACAGCACATCTCATGGCATTCTCAGTCAGGACTATGCAGCCAGGATCATATGTGTCCTCTCTCAGGCTGTGGACAAGTAAGTAAATTAAATAATGCCTACTTCTAAACCTATTTTTTCAATATCTTTGCCTTTTTGTTCTTTATTTTTGTAGATGTTAGATGTTGCAAGCATGCGTGAGTAATAAGTAAATCACGCTTTGCTGAAATTACCGGAAAAGAATTAGAATCTTACTAGTGTCCCTGTTGCTCGAATTCGAGCAATTTCTAAGTATTAGAGGCGTAATTTAAAAAGAATAACGGTCATAATTTCTGATATTATTAAAAGATTCGACCATACGATTATGGAAATATTCAAGATGTACATAACAGAATATATCAATTTATTCAGGTTCTCTGGTTTTTTTCCATTGTAATATTTACGCCAACCTAAATTCAAATAGTATATATGTATTTCATTTCAACCAAGTCAGTTAATGTTTGTAGCAAACTGTTAAATTAGCAAACTAATTGACTGTTCAACATTAACGTATGTTCTTCTTTTCACATTTAATTTCTGCCAACAGCTAGAGTTGCATAAAAATTTTTGTTTCCCATGTTAATCTAATGGAGAAATACAAAACTTTAAAGGGCACCAGGGCCTCACTCTCTAATTATTTCCCTAAAAAGAAAGTTTCCTGCACAACTTCACGTTACGCTCTTTCCAACGACACCAAAAACATGCCAATCGGTTCAGTAGTTTCGGAGGAGTAATTTTCACAAAAAACCTGCTTGCGTATTAAATAAGTATAGATATAAAAAAAGTTTACATTATTAGGTATAGCCATAGATAAAACATACTCCCTTAGTAGGTTTCCCATCCTTATGGAACAGCTGAAGCCAATTTTATTGTTAGTTCTGTCCGGTGTACTGTAGATTATGAGTTTTGTTTACAATTTGTTTCTATTATTTTAGGGTTGGTTTCCCATGATTTATGCCTCACTGTTTGGTTATATAGCTAGTGGACAAGTTATTGTTTATGATTAGATAGTTTTATTTGGTTAAACGAGGTTTTAAGTTACTGAAATAGCAAGAAAAGAACTGTAAACAAAACACGACTTTACAGTACACCGGACAGAATTAACAGTAAAATTGGCTTCAGCTGTTCCATAACGATGGGAAATCTACTAAGGAAGTATGTTTTATCTATGTTATAGCCAATGAATGAAAGAGCAGTTAATTTAGCAAAGCTGTGCCAATAACAAATCATAACATGGGATAAGTTTGCTTTGGATCAATCGTGAGATTAGATTAGTCTTAATTATCCGACCTTTGGTCCGATCCTGCACTGCTATTTGAACCTCCCTGTGGACAATCGAGTACCATGAGATTGTATGCTGTTTCTCCGTGTGGTGTGACTGTACAAGCAAGAGACAACTTTATATTGTTTTAGCTTTTAGCACTCTATATACTTGGTTAGTCAATTCCTCATACCTACATAGCTTTCTGCTCCCCCTCTCGTCCTGGCTATGGTGTTGTAAACCAAGAAGAGTGGCTGAGTGGACTAGCATCGCTGTAAGGTACCAAATTTAAAGGGAGGTAAAAACGTACTACGAAGAAATGAACACCAGAACTTACCCGATTTTTATCCACAATAGCCTACTTCTAGGCCTATGTGTTGGCCATAGCTTGGGCTATGGGCCAAAGAACATAGGCCAATTTTTAATCACAGTGAAGCACATACACACACTCACATGATATATTTATCATTAATCCATTTCACCAAATAAAGTCAAACCGACCGATTTTACGAGTATTTAACGCTGACGACAACATAATCCCAAACTGGTGTTTGTTTGTTGACAGACGACAGACGAAAACTAGACCAGCTCAACAAGTAAATTTGCGATCAGCTGTTGTCTAGTAGTACTTAAGTTCGCCGCTTGAGTGTGTAAGCCTCGAGCGGGCAGGAACGAAGGATTTTACTCCAAGACATTATTATTCGTTCGTATGCCGTCTTCGAAGTAACTTCGTCGTTACATTCGCCCGTTATCAACGCTTGCACGATCTGACGATCATTGATAATTCGTTTACCGAAGGTTAGCTAAATTAGGTTAATCATTAGGCTCTGACGACTCTGTAGGGATTTTTATTCTAGATTTTGTTTATCCAATCATCGCACTTTTATTTATTTCACTATAGTCTTTAGTTTATTATTTTAAAGCTTAATACGAGTATTTAGTCGCATTGGCCTAAGATTGAGTACTCGTCGGCCCTACAGAGTCATTCTAAAAGTTAGGCAAAATTTACCAAAACACTTTAACGAAGGCTGGGATGACATAGCTCCATCTGAGCGTCTGCAGGATTTCCTGAGCGCTTCTAGAGCCCTGAGCCTTCGATTAAATTTAAATAGATTGATCAGTCAAAGCTGTGACAACTTCGTATAGACCCCTGGAGTTTTCTCGGCTCCTTCTGAGCACTGCAAGGAAGAAATTTGAGTGTGGCCGGTTCTAGGGGTAGGCCTAGCCTGACTTTGGTGAATACCAGTTTATTCCCCCCCCTAGAATTTTGTGTCACATCGCTTTAATACATACATCTTACATTTTAGATTAACAGCTGTGGTGTTATTCCTTTGTCAGTTGTATTTCTATCTGTGATGATAGATTCAAAGTGTAAGTTAGGAGTTTTAATGGACGACCCTTTTCAATAAGCCAACATTGTTACGGCCCTTTAAAGTTGGATAATCAAGACTCTACTGTAAAATAAAATGAGAATTTTGTTTTTAAAACTTTTGGATGTAAAACACACAAATACTACCTTAGGAAAATCCTTTGTTATCCTCAATCTTGACATTAATCAATTAGAACAATTCACTCGTTTTCAGACTGTTTGAAGAAGCAGCACTAAAGCTGAATCTGCAGGCCCTGACGAGCTTCATGCAGGCGTTGTGTAAGGCATCCCAAGGCCAACTGTTCTCCCGCCACCCTCTAGCCCGTGTAGGGCCCCAGGGGCCCCGCAAGTGGTGGGCCCCAGTGCGGCTGCCTCGGCCGTGGGCCCCTCACGATGCAGACACCTCCCTGCTGCTCACACGAGTGGGGCAAGTCATGTTGAAGACTGTGCGTAGTGGCAGACCGTTGGTTCACATCATGAGAGTCTGGTCCATGGTAGGACCTCACCTGATGGAGGTTTGTACATTGTCTTGACTTGGTTTATGTTTTATTTTGGCATGATGTACAGTACCGCATTAATAAATGGGTCCGGCCCTGGGGGCGCAAGAGTAATTTTTTTATTGGGGGCGCAAGCAACAGAAAATATTTTAAATCGTGCGACAGTAGAATCCTTTTTACTCTTGTTCTGGACTCATCATTGCCACTGCTTGCACTATGTCGCTACTTGTTCCGCCTTATCTTTATTTGTAATTAATTTTTAATTTAATTTTTTTATTACATTACTCACCAATGTCATTTCTCTTTGTTCAATCGGATGAGAAACATGTCATCAGTTAGCTTGTGGTGAACAATGCTAATGACGATTTTATTAAAAAATCTAAGAATAAAAGTAAAGCATCTTGGGTAGTAGTGAAAAATGAAACAGGACTTAATAAACAAATATCTGATACTCCAGTTGAGGTTAAATTCAAACATGAAAGGGATATACAAAATTGTGCAGTATTGGTAGCAAATAAATTCAATAACTTTTTTATTAATGTTTCTCAGTATGCCAACAAATCAACAGATAAATTAAAAGCCACTCAGTTACTAATCGAAAATCATCCACGTTCCAAATTAACATTTAAATTTAGAAATGTTTCAATTGACGAGTTAAGAAAAGTTGTTACATCTCTCAGTAACACTAAGTCCTCAGGTTGGGATGAAATTCCTCTTTTTGTCATTAAAAGAGTTTTTAAATTTATAGAACATCCATTATGCCAAATAGTGAATCAGTCCCTTGAGGGGGGGGTTTTTCCTGATAAGCTAAAGTTGGCTGAGATTAAACCTCTGTTCAAAGAGGGCGATGTCAACGATCCCTCTAACTACCGCCCCATCGCCCTTCTGCCTTGTTTTTCAAAGATTTTTGAAAAAATTGTAAAGATTCAACTAACAGAATATTTAGAAAGCAATAATTTAATAAATCCTTCACAGTTTGGTTTCCGCCCAGAACTCGGTACTGAAAAATCCATAACAAAAATGATTAACTACATTGCGGAAGCCTTGGATGGATCGCAGAAGACTGTGGGTGTGCTATGTGACCTATCCAAGGCTTTTGACTGTGTGAATCATGAGATACTCATAGAAAAATTAAGTATGCATGGAATAAAAAATACTGAATTAAAATGGTTCATATCATATTTAAAGACCCGAAAACAAAGACTTATTTTACAAAAAATGCAGAGAAATTATAAATCAGAGTGGAACATTAACCCCAATGGAGTTCCTCAGGGCTCCATTCTCGGCCCTTGTTTATTTATTATTTATGTTAATGATCTATGCAATGCTACTAAGATGTCCACCTTTCAATACGCAGATGATACCGCTTTAATATGCACAGGACAAAACAATGAGTTCATTCAAGCCTCAATAACTAAGGAATTTCAACTCCTTGGGGATTGGTTTGCAGTAAATGGCCTGTCCATGAATGTGGCAAAAACTCAACTAATTCAGTTTTCTGCATCCAATATTAACCAAGAAATAATTGTAAATACAAACTTAACTACAATTCATTCACAACAGTCAATAAATTATTTGGGAATAGAAATTGATTCACAACTAAATTGGCAAAAACACATTAAAAACCTATCAAAAAGATTACGCTCAGCAACATTTGTTCTCACAATAATTCGGGATACTACTAATCTAGAAACACAAATATCACGCATATTTTTCATCGATTATGAATTATGGAATTACTGTATGGGGCTCATCAAGCCAGGCCAAAAAAATATTTATTCTCCAAAAAAGAGCTGTAAGATTAATGGCCAGAGTCTCCCGTAGAACACATTGTAAAGATTTATTTATTAATTTTAAAATTTTAACTTTTTTTAGCTCTTATATTTACAAATTGGCATTAATGGTTAAAAGTGATTTCGGCACATTCATGGACTGTCAACAATCTCATCCACATAACACAAGATTCAAAAATATTATAAAACCAGTTCAACATAGGCTTAAAATCTTTCATTTATCCCCTCAGTATATGGGACCAAAAATTTACAATAAATTACCCGCTGGGATTAAAAACATTGCCTCATTCTCTAAATTTAAACTATCTTTAAAAAATTTCCTTTTGGAGAGGGCATTTTACTCGTTAGAGGAATATCTGGAAAATGAGTATATTTGAAAGATATTGCTTCTCCCATAGGTTTGTAGCTTATTATATGCTTTATTTCTTTTGTAAGCTATTTTATTTTAAAATGTAGTATAGTATTAGTATTAGACTTTGTGACAAATCACCTGTCAAGAGAATTGATGTAATGTGATGATGTTTAATAAATAAAATAAATAAATAAATAAATGTTACTGTCATTTTTTTGCTTATAACTTAAATTTATGTTCAACGAGATCCTTTATTTTACAATCATACACTTTTTCTGAGAAATGAGCAAAAAACCAAAGGTGGCAGTGAGTTTATAAAGATGTGGTTTGAAAAATTCATTTTTCACTAACAACAGAGGTCTATAAGTAGTCCTCACTTCATACAATTTCACTCTGTGCTGCACGTTGTCAGAACCTACCAAGTATAGTGAAGACTAAATTAGTTTTATTCTCTTCTCTATAATAACCAGCAGTTTAGTATATATAGTCTTTGTTTCATTAAATAACCCAAGCTAGCTCCTTTAATCCAAGCTAAATGCTTTTTCCTCAAACATAACCTGTTTCATTAAAGAAGTAATGTAATATTTAATAGCATTTGGGTGTCAATTAGTTTTTAGTTTTGAGACTCAAAGCAGTATTCAAATTGTTCACAAACCATCCCTTTGAGAAATAAAAATCAATAATAAACCAATAAAGAAACAAAGCAAGACAAAAGAAAATAGTAAAAGATTATAGGTACAGGATATTCCACATCCATGGATCAAAGTCTTGTTTTACCCAGGTCAGATTTAATATTGTCAATAAAGTTTTCCTCCATCCAAAAACTAGTCAATGCCAATTTGTATATCACTGTTCAACTCATGCCTCCTACGATATCTTACAACATCTCTTTTTTCCTCTTGGATCTCTTGGAATCTCTGATGATTTTGCCTCAAAGTCTCTTGGTATAAATTTTATTTAGACTGTATTTTTAATGTTCCTATTATGTGTTCATTCCTTATCATATAACTTAGTTTTTCTTTTTCTCCAGGCCGCCTGTCACAAGGAGAGAGTGATATCCAAGATCGCAGTGTCTTCTATACATGACACAGTCACAGCTCTTCTGAATGAGCAGAATGAGCTTCCGTACTTCCACTTCAATGAAGCTCTCTTCAAACCATTTGAGAATCTCCTCTGCCTAGAGCTGTGTGATGCTGATGTTCAGGACCAGGTCAGTGTCGTCGTAATGAACTGTTTTCTAGTTTTCAGGAAAATGTAAATGAACCACTTGTATATGATGTATATTACATGTTTTGTTCATTAGAAACCGACACTAAGAAATGTAATACCATGGAGTTTCTGAAACCGAACGTTCAGTGGCTGGAACGTTTCAAATAGTCAGTCAAAAGGTTTCGTTAGACTGCTTGGTTGAATGTTTTAGATAAATGAATATAGAAATTAATTTTGTCTACAGGGCACTACAGCTTAAGTTTTAGGACCATTGTTGGGATGGCAGGCAAAAAATAAAAGAGTTAATACTCGCACAAGTAACTCAAAACTTTTACACCACACAATTTATTACTTACCTCATTTTTAATATTCCACAGTTACACCTTCCAGACCATCCTAAAATAATGCTTCTCTTCACTCTAATCTAAAATCTTTGAAGAATCCCTATACTTGGATGAAATATCAAGTTTTTTTATGACTTTTTTACTGTGAATCTGTTATCCCATGGACTGTTAGTTTTCTCACGTAAGCCTCCTGAATTCTACATTTAAAAAAACCCAACTTGGATTTTCCTAAAAACATAATGTTACTAATGGCAGATTGTAAGCTGCATCTGTGAGTTTGTGGAGGCCAACCAGAACGAGATCAGATCAGGCTGGAGGCCACTGTTTGGTGCGCTGCGTGTAGTCAGCAGCAGTCATCTCGGCTCTCTACTGGATGTGTTCAGAGTGTTCCTAGACACAAACAACACGCTGGTGTTCTCAAACGCTGCTGTAGACTGCATCCTGTGTCTGCTCAAACATGTCAAGGGCAATGGTGAGTATTACCTTCTAGACGTTCCATTCCCATATATCAAGTCTTTGCCCTTTAAAGTGGATGTGGTTGAATCGAGTCTCAAACAAATTTGGCTGATGTAAATTACTGATTTATGTAGGTCCTACTTGTAGTACCTCAGTTTCTAGAAGTCATGCACTGCTGTTGTACTTAGTAATGCAGGTTTCTCGTTTCTACTCATGCTTGCTAAACGACATCCGTATACATTTCCAGACAACATGTCAGATGAACTGTCAGAAGAAGGCTGTAAGGATGACAAGTCCCTAGAACTGTGTAAGGCTGCTCTCAAGTATCTGCACCAGTGTAGCGGCATTCTGGGCTCCATGTACAACATGCCTGCCTGCCCCATGTTCCACACATCTCACAGGTGGGTGGTGAATCTAGACACTAAAATGTTTAATCGTGAAATATCACAGTTGATTTTGATAGTTTGAAACTGTACCTGTTGTTGATCACTGGGCTTTTGAATTTGATGTAAGCTCCTGGCTAAAGTAACACCTGATCATAGTAAGTCATCAAACAGGGAAAGTGTTTCCCTAAGGGGTTTTGAGCAGAGTTTCTAGTCTCACAATCACCAAAAGTGTTAATAATGAAGTCTCCGCTGTGGCCAAAGATTTGGCTATTTTATTGGGAACACAGCTGAAGTCTTTCACCAGCGCTCCGCAATCTCAGAGGAAGCTCGTGATTTTATTTTGACCGAGGACAATGTTTATGAAATTGTCGTGGTTGCAGAAGTTGTTCAAAACAGATTGTGGTGCAAGATCTAGTTTTGTTTTAATCAATACTTTCCAAAAGAACGTGATTTTTACCAAACCCAATTTTTGCCGAGAACCAAAAAACAATATTTGTGGCCTGACCTGAAAAAAAATCTGCTACTTAGATCACTTATTAATAAAAAATAAAATCAAATTATATTATCATATCTTGTCTGATAAAGTTGGTCTATAAATTCCCCAATCAGATCATAGGAAATAAAGGGTTGAGTTCATCAAGTTTAAGCAATCTCACATGTTTCCAAATGGCCTAAGCTCCAGTCCCTGAAAAATCTGAATAGAGGGTCATCTGTATAGCGTGCCACCAGGGGCTAGATTAGAAATAAGACTCTGAATCAAGGCATCTCACCCCATTCGAAACTTGTCCTTCTCTCGTACTCAAGTTAAAATATGTAAAATTATGTCTGCTATCCTCAATTCAACACATTAGCTATTCACAATTCCCTCTTTAAAAAATGATCCCCACTCGCAGGACCCAGATGACCCTGTCGCCGCAGAGAGTGGACCCGATCATCCCCCAGATGGAGCTCATGAGGCTAGACCCCGAGGTGGAGGTCGGCCCTACGGGGGAGCTGAGCTACTCTGCCCTGAGTGTGGGGGGAGAGTGTCACGACGTCAGTGCCATGGACCGGCCCAGCGGAGTACTACGAGTGTGGGTGTTGCTGCTAGATGGACTGTGTGGAGCCACTGTGGCTGCTTGTCCTCAGTACCAGAGTCACATACTGGACACTCTGTTCACACTGCTGAGAGAACTGCTGGTACACCCTGGTAGGTACTGGTGATATGTTGTAGCTTTGACTGACAGTGAGTATCCAGGTGTATTGTGAGTGTGGGTGTTGCTGCTAGATGGACTGTGTGGAGCCACTGTGGCTGCTTGTCCTCAGTACCAGAGTCACATACTGGACACTCTGTTCACACTGCTGAGAGAACTGCTGGTACACCCTGGTAGGTACTGGTGATATGTTGTAGCTTTGACTGACAGTGAGTATCCAGGTGTGTTGTGAGTGTGGGTGTTGCTGCTAGAGGGACTGTGTGGAGCCACTGTGGCTGCTTGTCCTAAGTACCAGAGTCACATACTGGACACTCTGTTCACACTGCTGAGAGAACTGCTGGTACACCCTGGTAGGTACTGGTGATATGTTGTAGCTTTGACTGACAGTGAGTATCCAGGTGTGTTCTGAGTGTGGGTGTTGCTGCTAGATGGACTGTGTGGAGCCACTGTGGCTGCTTGTCCTGATGTCCTCAGTACCAGAGTCACATACTGGACACTCTGTTCACACTGCTGAGAGAACTGCTGGTACACCCTGGTAGGTACTGGTGATATGTTGTAGCTTTGACTGACAGTGAGTATCCAGGTGTGTTGTGAGTGTGGGTGTTGCTGCTAGATGGACTGTGTGGAGCCACTGTGGCTGCTTGTCCTCAGTACCAGAGTCACATACTGGACACTCTGTTCACACTGCTGAGAGAACTGCTGGTACACCCTGGTAGGTACTGGTGATATGTTGTAGCTTTGACTGACAGTGAGTATCCAGGTGTGTTGTGAGTGTGGGTGTTGCTGCTAGATGGACTGTGTGGAGCCACTGTGGCTGCTTGTCCTCAGTACCAGAGTCACATACTGGACACTCTGTTCACACTGCTGAGAGAACTGCTGGTACACCCTGGTAGGTACTGGTGATATGTTGTAGCTTTGACTGACAGTGAGTATCCAGGTGTGTTGTGAGTGTGGGTGTTGCTGCTAGAGGGACTGTGTGGAGCCACTGTGGCTGCTTGTCCTAAGTACCAGAGTCACATACTGGACACTCTGTTCACACTGCTGAGAGAACTGCTGGTACACCCTGGTAGGTACTGGTGATATGTTGTAGCTTTGACTGACAGTGAGTATCCAGGTGTGTTGTGAGTGTGGGTGTTGCTGCTAGAGGGACCGTGTGGAGCCACTGTGGCTGCTTGTCCTAAGTACCAGAGTCACATACTGGACACTCTGTTCACACTGCTGAGAGAACTGCTGGTACACCCTGGTAGGTACTGGTGATATGTTGTAGCTTTGACTGACAGTGAGTATCCAGGTGTGTTGTGAGTGTGGGTGTTGCTGCTAGAGGGACTGTGTGGAGCCACTGTGGCTGCTTGTCCTAAGTACCAGAGTCACATACTGGACACTCTGTTCACACTGCTGAGAGAACTGCTGGTACATCCTGGTAGGTACTGGTGATATGTTGTAGCTTTGACTGACAGTGAGTATCCAGGTGTGTTGTGAGTGTGGGTGTTGCTGCTAGATGGACTGTGGGGAGCCACTGTGGCTGCTTGTCCTAAGTACCAGAGTCACATACTGGACACTCTGTTCACACTGCTGAGAGAACTGCTGGTACACCCTGGTAGGTACTGGTGATATGTTGTAGCTTTGACTGACAGTGAGTATCCTGGTGTGTTGTGAGTGTGGGTGTTGCTGCTAGATGGACTGTGGGGAGCCACTGTGGCTGCTTGTCCTCAGTACCAGAGTCACATACTGGACACTCTGTTCACACTGCTGAGAGAACTGCTGGTACACCCTTGGTAGGTACTGGTGATATGTTGTAGCTTTGACTGACAGAGAGTATCCAGGTGTGTTGTGAGTGTGGGTGTTGCTGCTAGATGGACTGTGTGGAGCCACTGTGGCTGCTTGTCCTGATGTCCTCAGTACCAGAGTCACATACTGGACACTCTGTTCACACTGCTGAGAGAACTGCTGGTACACCCTGGTAGGTACTGGTGATATGTTGTAGCTTTGACTGACAGTGAGTATCCAGGTGTGTTGTGAGTGTGGGTGTTGCTGCTAGAGGGACTGTGTGGAGCCACTGTGGCTGCTTGTCCTAAGTACCAGAGTCACATACTGGACACTCTGTTCACACTGCTGAGAGAACTGCTGGTACACCCTGGTAGGTACTGGTGATATGTTGTAGCTTTGACTGACAGTGAGTATCCAGGTGTATTGTGAGTGTGGGTGTTGCTGCTAGATGGACTGTGTGGAGCCACTGTGGCTGCTTGTCCTCAGTACCAGAGTCACATACTGGACACTCTGTTCACACTGCTGAGAGAACTGCTGGTACACCCTGGTAGGTACTGGTGATATGTTGTAGCTTTGACTGACAGTGAGTATCCAGGTGTATTGTGAGTGTGGGTGTTGCTGCTAGATGGACTGTGTGGAGCCACTGTGGCTGCTTGTCCTCAGTACCAGAGTCACATACTGGACACTCTGTTCACACTGCTGAGAGAACTGCTGGTACACCCTGGTAGGTACTGGTGATATGTTGTCCTTTTTACTGCCATAAGTAGTAAGAAGCCATAAGAAGGGGGGAAATGTCAAGAACACTGCGAGAAATTCCACCTAAGGCCTTCCAGGTCAAACAAAGTCACACCCACAAATTCATGTGCCCTAAAACTACCCTAAAATGAACTATGAATTTCTTAACCACCTAAGCAAGTATTGTAACAAAAGTAGCTAAGAGAGATACTTTCCCTGAAAGATGAGGTTGCATTTTAGTTTTTATGACTAGGTGGCTGAATTGTTATAGTGCTTGTCTCAAAAACTGGAGGTTGCAAGTTTTATCCCAAGCAAGATAGACTTTAGACCCAAATGCCATTTATCAGCTATCAATTAATAAAGGTACCAAAAGGTGTACAGTTTAGGTGGACAAAAACACATTAAAAATATTCTTATGGCATAAAAAACATAAAAAGCTTCTTTTTGTGATAAGTGTATAATAATTACACAATCAAAAATACTACTCCCTTTTTCACTCGGGGAAGTTTTCCCAAGCAAACAGCACTTACTTCTATTTATTCTATTACCATATACTCCAACGTAAATTGTGCAATCAATGAATTTATCCACTAACTATTAACTATTGTGTTTCTCTCTAGGTTTTGAGTTTGGACTGTATTGCATCAACCATCTGCTGTTGCCGATGGTACAGAACTGGCTACGCAAGACCAGTAGACAGTTCCGGGGGTGGGATATCTACAGTGGCAACTTCAAGCAATGCTGCGGCCTAACTACTGACTTGGTGGTCAAATACCTCATCCACCTACATGGTGAGTGAATCAGTACTTACTGGGTATTCAAGTGCTCATTTTTGGTTGAATCTTTTTTTTTTTTTTTTTGTAAAGTAATAAAAGTTTAGTCAAACCCTTCAGATTGGTTAATAGGAGAACACAAGGTTGTTAGAGTTTGGAATGGGAAGATCAGAAGAGTTGGCTTGAGAGAGAGAGAGTAGAAAAAGCAAGTCTAAAAAGTGAACTCTGAGGAATGTGAAAGTGATAGTGGAAAGGTTGACCAGAGGAAGATCTAAAGGAAAGTGGATAAATGAGGTGAATAATATGAGGAGAATAGACGAGTGGGATGGCAGATAGTGTATGAAAGGTTTTGTAGTTTAATGATTTTGTCAATTTTTGTAAAGTAAAACCAAAATGAAAACAATGTGCGACTTTTCTTACAAAGATTCTCTAACAGAATTATTTCAGAAAGGCCGAACAAAACAGATTTCAGGAACGGATCAGCTAAAACTTCCATGTGCGCAACCAGAACTGGTCGGGTTTAAGCGAAAGGGTTGGAGGAGATACTTTTTTAAAACATCCGTGCCTTCACCTTGCTACCCTGCATGACTTACTCACCCTAGCACTGCCAATTTTACTGGTACCCCTATGTTTTCACTGTTTTCAGTGTGGCTAGCAGCAAACCATTTGCGGGCACAGAAGTTTTGGCCGATCTAAAATCATAAACATTTTCCCTATATATGAATCAAATAAGTAGAGCATTGAGACAATTTTTCTTTTCTTCTTTGCAGAAGCAGACAAGAGCGAGTATGGCAATTTGATGCTGAAGCAACTTGTCTTGTTGATGGTGGAGTGTGTAGTACAACCTGTGGAAAGTATAGCAAGACTCGGCTGTGCCTGTCTAAGGTAAACACTACTTTATGGTTCATAAATAATTTCACTTTTTGTAAAATATTTTCATACAGATTGACGCTTTTGAATTTGTCTGATAGATCTTTCTGTTGAATGGAAGATGTGTGAAGAACAGGTAAAGTTAATTTAGATTGAACTCGTGTTATTATTGTTTAATGGATTATTGCAGACATTTTCTATCAATTTTTTGTCCTAGGACGCTAGGCACAAGCCTGGAATTGTTTTTCACATTACTTCAGGCTAGACCTAGGGGTTACGGCATTATCACTTAGATAAAATCCATTGGTGATTTGGCAGGATTTGAACCCGGGACCTCAGGAAATGGAGTCCCGCGCTCTAACCACTAGACCAGCTCGCTCCCCCTATCAATGATTGGTAATACGTAAAAAAAGTTGCAGAACATTCCAGAATCTGATTGCCCCTATAGATGGGAAGGGTTGGACATAGTGAGTTAGTTGACAAACCGGGAAATGCTGGAAAACACAGGATGTGTAAACAACTAATGCTTAGAGCAGGCAAATGAAAAAAGAAGATAAGAAAAAAGTAGAAAAGCCTCATCAAACCACCTTTGTCTCTAGTGTTCTAAGTATTGTGTCTCCTCCATCTAGGACTTATTTAATTATGTTATCCATCCGCTAATCTGAGAGCCCAGGTTATTTTAACCATAAGCTATCTTAGCTCCTTTATCCAATTGTTTATGGTTTTTACTTCCTCTACATTAATGTGTTTATCAAGTTTTTTTCTAGTGCTCTGAAAGGAGAACAGGAACTTTATGTATTTAATGACCATCAAGAATTGAATTCATTCTTGCACCTGAATCATCCATCTACTGTTTTGCATATCATTGCTGCATGTGTCCACCAAAAACTGATAAGATTGGGTTGATTTAGTTAATGAATATCCCTATGTCTTGTAGGGTTAAAGACAAGCAATTGTTAGTTTTTATTCTCAAACCGCTATTGAACAGTTGAGAGCTTTTCCTGTTCAGCCATTTTAAATATTATAACCTTTGTCTATAATTCAATCTCTGTTGTCTCTTGTTGTAATAAAACTTTGAATCCTTGTATTAAAACGATATTACGCATCCAAAATAAATGGAAATCTTAAAATGTTTGAAATTGATCCCACAACAAGCTACGATGGTTTTTCCACATATTCAGTCATAAGTATCAAGCTCCATTTCAGGAGCAGGTATGAAATAAAAACATGGGTGATAAAATATGCATGAAATGCTGGTAGAAGTTGATACACTGGTCGGGCAAGAAGGCGAGCAGACTGCACGAGTGGTGTCCCTTACTGTCATTTGATCTCAACAAAACAATGTGTATTCTACCTTTGATAGGCGGACATTTGAGACAAATTTATATATCTTGTGTAACACGGCCATATCTCTTACACTATGACATACTTCAACTTCCTTGCGTTTAAGGTCATCTTCTTAGGCTGTTGAGAGATAGTTTTGGGTGTAGTCTTTGAGATACTTCATGTTGTATTTTCATAAGTTTTAAAATAAACCAGCATAGTAATATGTGCTTTATCCAAATTATACGTTGTGAAAACTTTTTCAAGCAAAAAAAAAAAAAACTTGTAGGAAATTTATATTTTCATTTTGTAGGCTATATGAATGTTTTCATTTTACTTACAATCCATAAATTTGAAGACCTAAAACCAGAATTTACGCATATTTAGATATTTTTATCAGAATTATTTTTAACTTTAGGTTTGGATTTAGTTTCTATCTCTTTCTGAAAAAATCTCTTATTTGGCTATCTGCTATGTTTTTCTTTAAACTGTTTAACCGCAAACACTATGTTTGTAGCTAAACCCTAGTTTAGTCATTTTTTGAAGAACTGGTCCATAAGAATATATGTAAATAATCCTAAGGGTTAAACAATACCCCTGTTATGGAAAATTAAACACATTTGCAGTTGATTTGCTTTTAAGAGTATCATGCACTACTCAGGTACTAATCTTTATACCAGTCATTTTTCAATATTGTGAGCTGTATGCAATTTTACGTACAAATAATAGCACCTCAATTGCACAAAACACATTTTGAAATCCGTTTTTTATATCCCACCGCCGATGAACGACTCCACCTAAGAGAAAAACTTAGTATGACACTTTTTAAGAAATATTGTTTCCCAATTTATTCCTACTTGGATGTAAAATCTATTGGCCAGGCATGCCAAGTCAACCAAAATTAAGTCATCCATTTGTTTAGACTGTTTAGAGACATACTTAAATTCTATCAGTAATATAGTATAATGGTTTCTATAACATCATTTTACACTATTTTAATTTTACATTATTTTTGTTATTTTTTTGTCTTGAAAAAAAAAAACACATTTTGATTAAAACAAGATACTCTACTCTGGTGTACAACCAAGTTGTAAGTTTGAATTTTTGTTTCTATTGGACTCGTAAATGTGTGAATGATGAGCACACTATTTATAGCTTTTTTCTAACTACTGTACTCAAAATAAATAAAAAATCACCATTTAATTATGCAACTTTTCCACAAATACTTTGCATTTATATTCTATTGTTTGTACTCGCAAAGCCCTTCATGAGTGGAATGCATATAATTAATATCTATATAGCTTGCATCTCGGCCTGGGTCAGACTGACATATCCAACTTGCAATCTGGGAGTTAATATTTCAACAGCTGGTCATCAACTGGCCACTCTAAGACCGTTGTGGCTACTTAATATAATTAACGCTGGCTGATACTATTGTTAGTTTATGTATTCCCCTGGTCCTATTAGGTACCTCTCACTAATACATTACTTATAGTTTAAGAGATGTGCTTTACATTTAGTTGTACATAAAATGGCATTTAAATTTGTTTTGTAACCATGCCTTTTTCCAATAAAATATAACTTGAATATACATTATGTAATCCACTTAAATGTAGATCAACTTGAATTTAAAATATCAAATAACAAACGTAATAAAATCAAAGGGGGTTAATTTATTGGTTAAGTTAATTTCCATAAGTATCCTGAGAGTTTTGTACAAACTAAATAAGGCTCAAACATATGAGAAGTGTGAAGTGTGGCAAGATGGCATACAATCTTGTTTTGTGTGTGAGTAAATGTGCGTGAGACCAAAAACAAACAAAACATTTTTCATTTTTGTAATTATTGTCTTAAGGTATACATTTTTTTTATTTTGCAAGTACACTAAGTTCCATGTTTATGGCCAGTGGATTACTATTTATTTATTTTTATTTTTTTTTTGTTTTTTTAAGAGGTAGGCGGCCTCTTTTAACCATGCATTTGCCCGTCCACATAGACTACAGATCTGTGTGTGGAACGTATTTAAGGACTAATAACCATGTACAATATGACCTCGTCATGTAATCCAAATTCGGACTAAATTACAAGATAAATTGTAGTATAATTATTAGTCAGTAATTATTAAATTAGGTTTGTTTCAGTTTAGGTACCAATAGTATGCATTATGTTCCGACTGTCAGTTCTAAGTATAAGATAACTGGTATCGTAACAGTGATATTTCAAACCTTTGGAAACCCTAAGAAAACATTTGAAAAGCTAGAAACTTAAACAAAAGATCATGTAAAAAAAATCATAGACCATTGTAGTAGAATCAGTCATTTTAAAAGTTGACCATAAAAATTAAAATACTAATGTCTGATTCAAATCAACCACGTAATTATCTTTTGATTTTTTTAATATCTGCCCACTGCCCGTCTCTTTTCCAAAAGCCAGGTTTTCATAACAGCTGATTCAGGGGCAGTAGTTGTTGAAAGAGGACACCCCAGAACGACCAATGAGAAGTGACAGCTGTCACATTTCATTAGCCCAAGACTGGGTCTGACCGGGTATCGCTTTCCCGTTGGACCAGAAGCAACTACTTGGTCCCCTCCGTCACTGGGGCCTTCCATTAACAACCATGTACGGCCTTCGGTCCATATCAGGCTGCTTAGCTTCAATGAGTTCCACGGTGTTGATAATTAAAATGGAGTTGTTTGGTTGTAGCGTTTGTTTTACGTCTTAAATTGTTAAGTTTGAACACACTCTGAGAGATTGAATCGCTGAAAGCATACAATATCTGGTATTGCCTACAGAGAAAAAAGTACTTAAACCATAACAGACAACATATAATATAATAACAGATTCCTTGTCCAAAATGTCGCTAAAGTTTTTTTACAGATTGTGATAGGAAATTAGATAACCACAATAATCCCTCAATTAACTTCAATTAATTAACTAGAAACAAATCAGTCAAAACATTGCAAATAATTTTCTTAATGTATTCCACAAGACAAAGACAAACCGGCTGTAAACTGTTCAGCCCAACAACTTGTAGAGCTGAAAATTAGACTCATTGCTAAACGAGATAAATTAGTTAGCGTATCAGGTATTGTAAGAAAAATGTTAACCGTACCGATGTATAATGAACAAAATTGATCATTCTAAATCCAACCGTATAAAGCTGATTTTACTATTGGCATTTCTATAAAACAATAACATCCACTAAGCAAATAACATAACCTAAAAAAGCTAACACAACCTATTTATACGCAACTAAAAAGTTAATCTGTGTATCATGATAAGTTAATTATGGTGGTAGAAAAAATTAGTTAATTATGAGCATAAACAGTCATTGCCGCTCTCAAAATGTATGGCCACACTCAGCTCAACCTTCAAGTAGCCTACAGTTCTCAAGTGCCAGTGATGTTATACTCCCCAAGACATTCTACCAATAGTCTGTGGGTTTTAATCGATTGTATATAATTTGACACCTTTTGGAAATTTATTTATTACATCGGAGACAACCTTATGCTGAGATCATTTATGTAGCCTACATGCACTTAAAACCAAATTTAAGAAAAATGTTTTTCTTTGATGACACTTCAGACCTGTAAGTAGTGTAAATAAATCATAGTTTCTTGCTGCAAATTTTAAATTCATTATCCTTTAGTGGTAGTCAGGTAGTGTGCATAAATCCCAATCATTTTAATGATATTGCTATTTATTCATATGAACTCAAATTCAAAACATGTTCTAACAAAATAACTTCTTTCTTCAAAAAAAAAATACTTTAAATAACAGTTGGCTATATTCTACTCCAAAACAAAATAAATGGGCGGATCTTACTTTACAAAACTACAATTCAATCAGTGGATAGGCAGACCCATCGATGGGCAGACCTGGGCTGTTCTTACTGCTACTCATACTAATTAACACCTCGCCATGGCAGTAAATAATGCAATTATTACACCATGAATCTCGTCTGAAACATTACCCAATATACAAATAAAATGTATTCTATACAAGGTCTAACCTGAAAATATCACATGGCTATTAAATATTGACTCTTTAAACATTATTAAACATAAGTAAAACATTATTCGTTTGTAATACATTAAGACATCAAGTAATTACACGTGATTCAAGATTTAATACAGCCACTTATTTTAATATTTCTCAAAAAGATAAAACAAGCAAAATTTAGAGTAAAATCACATGAGGACTCAACTGGTTATTACATTATAACCCATTCATTGATAACTAAAACTAAAATCTTTCTTTGACAGAACATAGTGGACCTGTAAAACATAATCACAAAACATAATTTTCAGTCATACTTAAATTTAAAATTAATTAAAATAATTTCGTACCTTGTCGACGAGTCCTCAACAAACTTAGCCCAGTGTTGACCTTCCACTGACCTATCTAACGGCTAATTGGCTAATTTTTAAATTATCAGTGGTACCACAATATAAGGCAAAATACTCTGCTATTCCCCTTCAGTCAACACTGCACTTCTTGAAAATTAAGAAGTTAAACTGGGCAAAGCCCGCGGGTTACAGCTAGTTAATACATATTTTTACTAATCATGATTGGAAATGCCCACAGTTAACTATGTACCACATGTATGTTACAGACACATTGTCCTGAGTGCAGCTCCGATACTCAGCTCTTGTCAGTGGGAGGTGATGTGTCTAGGGCTACACAGAGCTTGTTCTCTCTCCCTGTTCTCTCTACATCAGCTGATGGCTGCCTTCCGCCCGGGGTCTCACAGCTTCTACGGGGACGGAGCTCATGTCAAGGTGGCCGCTCGCAGGGACTCGACCCCTCAGGAGTCTGAGAGGCTGAAACAGCTAGCACAACAGGTAAATCATGTGTAGTTGGGTCTCTAGCTGTGCAAAGCACTTGCTGTGATGGATTTTCAAGGTAAACTTCTATTATGACCTGAATATGTTTCAACTCATAATACGACCTCAAGCTTTGACTACTATTTGATTATTCACAGGATGGAATTCTTCTTTAGTTAATCTCAATCACCTTGATTTTTGGTAAGATTGTTTCGTGTGTTGCCTTCTCTATAGTATTTGAGTTGGGTTTTTTAAATGCAAACGATTAAATAAGTAAATATATTTTAGACGAGGGGGCCTTTTTTAGCTACCATTATTTGTCCCTCTGCTAGGTTTTAAAATAACACTTAAATTATTCAAATTGGTTAAATAGGATGGGTAATAATAGATTTACAGAGGTTACGGAGAAACCCCTTTCCGTTTCAGGTATATATTTTGTAAATATGATATGGTTCCCTGTCAATTTCCTTCTTTGTTCTTTGTAATAGTGCTGAAATCAGTGACATGTCCCTCATGTCCACTAAAATTTCCATGTAAGATTTAGCTTCTTGTAATAACTGTCTTTAGCCTATCCTTTTGATCATGTGGAAACGGAAAAATTTCTTACAGAGAATATCTTTATGGATACCACATTCTTTTATGCAATGTGTACAGTTTAGTGGATAGACTCTTCTATAAGATCTGTGCTTATATAAAGCAAGAAGTAAAGAAGCAAGAAGTATCCATGCGTTTTTTTTTTCACTATATCCATGATCTTGGTAGGTGTTCTTGCTGGAAGGCCAGAGAGGAGACTGGGCTGACGAAGGCTCTGATGATCGCAGCTACTACCTCCTGCTCTACCCTCAGGACCTGGCTCCCTCAGCCAACCCGGAGCATTACGTGGTCCGGGTCCCCTTCAGGAACCTCCTCGTGGGACTCCTCTCTCACCAGATGCTGCTGCAGACTGTAGGATGCCTGCTGATACAGGGAACACCTCACGTCATTCCTAGGTGAGAAGATAAAACTATTTGTTTGGATAAAATGATCATTATGTAATGAAATACAGTAGTTGGTAATCTACCTATGCCTACTGTTGTGACCAGCTGTAAACGTAATTCTAGCTTTTAAGATAGTATATCAGATTTTGATTCTTTGGCTTAGTTAGGGTCTTTGACTTGAAAATTGAGAGCAACAAATCTCTATCCAAACATTGAATTACCGGTACCGTGAATAATTCTTGAATAGAAAATATATTGATAGAAAGTGTCAGTTGTAGATTTAACATAAGAAATTGTTGTTGCAGCCTAGCCAATGTTCTGCTGCAATCCCCATCCGGCACTCCACATGACAAGAGTAACAACGTGGACCACACTTTACCAGGCATGATGCCTTACATGAGTCAACACCACATTCAAACCCTCCTGGCATGTCTGGATCTTTCATACGACGCTGCCATCCAGTTTGACTCAAGACCCGGCTTGAAGTTCTTGATCCAGAAAGTAGCTGGAATGGACAGAGCAGCAAACTTGTACCGTCAAGCCGGAGCTGCTTGGATATTGAAGGTCGTAACACTCTTTGACCTGAGCCTTCATGAAGTGAAGAAGTCTGGAGCTACGCTAGACTGTGTGAAGAAAATCATAGAGGAGGAAGATTCCAAACTGAAGCAAGAACTTGAAAAAGTCAAATCGAGCCCTTTGAGTGAAAGAGGGGACAAGATTATGGAAACGCCCCCGTCTGGGAATTCAGAGAGTGACTGTAACGACATGACAACATTCCTGCTCAGATTGAGGCAGAGCTTTGACAAACTGTGTGACACGTACATCGACGTTGTACTGGACAAAGATGGCACACACTCTGCGGTCGATCGAATTTCTGATCAACCCATATTTTTCCTGATTGCGCAAACTGACGATTTTCCCGATATAAAATGGAAGGATTTATCCGACGAGTTGGTAAGTAATTTTGAAGAGGCTAAATTAGACGATCAGGATTCAGGTGATGATGACTCGGATAGTGATAAAGAAGATGAAGAAGAAAAAGCTGTACCCGAGAAGGGGAAAGATTCGATTACTGATCAAGACTCAAAAGTTCATGACAATGTGAAGAAACCTTTTAAATTTGCTGATCTGGCTCAGCAGTACAATGACTCAGCGAGTGAGGGTGAAACAGACACTCAGCCACAGAAGGAGGAAAGTGTCTACAACGTGGCTGGTGGAAGTGATGTTGAGGGCCTCATGGAAGAGTACAAACGTAGAAAACAACTCTGTGCACTGCCGTTGTCAGCTAACGCGGAAAAACGTAAAAACCCTTTCAACCAAAGGAAAACCTCAATTGATCCTCCTCTAGTCCCAACTGATCCTCTTCCACCCGAGATTGAGCAACAGAGGAAGAACAGCATATATAAGGTATGTACTGTTAAATCTATGAAAATTGCTTCTGTTTTAGCCTATAATAGAATTGCAAATGTTGTGAAACCCAGTTCAAACGACGAAAAAACTCAAGTAAGCTTTCTTTGAAAATAAGTTTAAATACTAAAGATCTAATAAGATTTTTTGCCGAATTGACAATAATGCTTTTTATATTTTTGTATAGTCAACGCTTAGATTTTAGTTGAACATACTTTGAAATATTAGGTCAACAATTGGCACTTTTGCATGAATTAGCAATTTTAGAATACTTATTGTTACAACATATCCCTGTACATTTTCTACCCTAAGTGCTAAACTTCCTAATTATAGTACCTTTCCAAAAGTTGTTATGCAATAATCATAAAAAAAAAAACACTTTTATTACTTATTTTATTTTTATCTATTGCATTTTCTTGATTTTCTTGCTCAGCATGGCAAACTTTTTGTTATTTCACTAATCAAGTGCTGAATCAAGCTTTTCTAAAGTAGGATGTTTAGTTCTTCATAAAGGCCACCTAGTGGGCAAACTTGTCTGATTTCTGTAGGCCAACCTGTTCCATTGCCGTCAGTCTGACAAACATTCTTGCCATAGGCACAAGTTAGACAACCGGCACTGTAGTTGTCCTAAAGTAAGGTTTTAATATATTAGAGGTTACCAAGGGAAATTTATAAAAACTGTATGATATAGAGTATTGTTTCTGCCAGTCACGGGCACTGAGCCAGTTATGATAGGGTCAGTCAGCTGTGAAGGTGTGAGCCTTGACTGAGACTGATGACTGATGATCAGTCTGATGAACAATGGTCCACACCCAACATCTCTATCAGTCTAATGTCCTCTCATCAGAGACAAATTGGGGATTATGATGGAACAGTTGGTTTCATTGGCCGTTTAATACATTTTTTTACACAGACTTACGCATAAATGCATAAAAACGAGTAGAGAACTTTTTTTTTGTATAATTTACGTTGTGCTCAAAGTCACAGCTTGACAATTTCAAATTATCAGTTTTTTCTTTTGTTTGGGGAAAAATATGATTAGGAAATTTACCACAATAAACAATATAGTTGAAGTAGGGCGCAAACTTTGAAGGTGAAATTGTTAGTTGTGTACCTACCCAATGATAAATTTTAGTTTTAATTTATAATTTTTCAATGTTTTGATCAGCATTGTAAAAACATGTAAAGATTTGTAGTGATTTTTTATAAGATGCTCATGATTCTATTATTAACTCAGTGCTATGGATGAACAATGTAGAAATTTCTCCTATTATAAAAAACAACACAGATACATGGCAATATTTTACAATATAGACAAAAAGAGAGGAAGTAAATAGATATTTTAATTGAACAAGGCCTAAAAAACATAAAAAACTATATTTTATATTTCAAAAGACAAAATATTTGATTTAAAAATCACAGGAAACTGCAGTTGCATCATCCTCGACACAAAACACATCCTTTATTTACCCAACTGTTCTTTAAAATGTACAATCAATACATCAGAAAGTCTTTAGTCGTAGTGATTCATGAATAAGTTTTTTAGGTAAAGGAAAACTAAAACAGAGAAGTAACTTATATTTAAAATAAATAATTACACAATAGTGATAGGGTTTGTTGGGTATCTGTAGAGGACCCTTTGGTACTGACTATTTGTTTCTTGTAATTTCATTAATTTTATTTTTGATGAATATAACATATAACAATCTCCATACCATTACCACATGTCTTCTGGTATTTTATTTTAAGGGTAAAACACAAATCTTAAAATCTACCCCAAAATAAGATCAACCATTTAGTCCCGTGCACCCTCAAACGTTTCCAAACACATCAAAACAGGCTTCCGCTCTTAATAGGTTGAAAAGTCAACTTGCACTAAGTTTTAAGTCAATAGTTCCCAAGCCTTTCTATTATTTTATTCCTACATTGCTTAACACTCAAAACGTATGGATACAGAGATAATTTCAAACTCAGTAGGTTCGAGTAGTTTTAACACCTCTGGCATTGCTTGCGCACTGACACACTGCATTGACCCCTGTCACTGCAGGACAGCGAGGCTCACATGGCCGTGTGGGCGGAGATGTTGGTGTCGGTGTTTGACCTGTTGTCACAACTGGACGACTCCAGGTTCCGCACACTGCTGCCGCTGCTGTTCCACGGCGTGCGCTCCCTGACTCAGCACGCCACACACCCCACGCTCAAACACGCCATCGCCTCGTTCTTCCACAGGGTAGCGCTGCTGTACGGGTTCAGTCCCGAGTAAAAGCTTTACGAGATGAAGGCTCTTGCAACGGTTCGTATTTGTTTGTGAGCGAGTTGGGATCGAAATGTAGTTTCAGGTGAGTTGGAGTTTTACAACGTTTTTAAAAGTAGCTATTCAACTTTTTGTGTCAAAGTTTAATTCTGTGAAAATGTGAGGATAAAGGATAATTGTGTTTTGAAACCAAACTGTTTAAAACAAGGGCTAAAATTTGAATAACCAATTTTATTGCTACTCTGAGTATTTGATTATCTTTTACTTTATAAGTAAGTCATCATTTGTTACCTATTTAGTAACAAAATAAGATTTAGGATGGTCTCCTATAAAAAAAAAGTAAAAAAGGCAGTGGCATTAAAAAAAAACACATTAATTAAACTGGATGCAAATTACTTGTTTAACTATCCAAACATGTAGTTTTAGAGACTATTGCGGCATTTTCCATTATAATTAGTAAAAAACCACAATCTTCACAATGTTTCGGGATCTGGAATATGATCTTGTCCTTTTAAAATGAGAAAGTACTTAGAAGACAACCAGCTTAGATTAGTCTAGATTTGTTTTATCTAAGGGGTTTTAATGTTCTTGTTTGACTACTATATACGTTCATATTTTTTCACACATATTGATGATTCCTCAGCTTTAGTTGGGTTATGCTTGATCTTAATATGTAGTAGGCCTGATGACAGGGTATAACTTCAAATCCCAAAACATTGTTAAAATGTTGCTATTCCCAATCGTGATGGAAAATGTCTGCGATAATGTCTTAAATAGCATGAGTTCACCACTCGCCAAATATAACCTTTAAACTTGTCCAAACTTTCAAATAATACCAAAAACCTTATCCTCAAATTCCAAGCAAGTTATCTTTGGAAGTTAAACCTTTGCAAGAGCCTTAACTTAACAGCACTAACGCAAGACTTGTTGTCTAGTCAATATCTCTCTCTTGCTTCTATTTTATACAGAAGACTACTAAATAATTCAAACCATCTTTACAACTGCAGTTTTAAGTGTTGTTGGTTTTCCAATCAGCTTTGGAACTTAACAATAATGGTTGAAAGAATAATTTAGCAGTCTTAAATATCTTGCAACTCTCAATTATTAGTTTTAAGTTATAAGTATTTTTCTTAGGTACGAATGATAAGTCTGGTATGGCCTATAAAGTATTGCAACATTCCAATTTTGTTTTTGTTTTCACTTCTACACACTGTACTAGCACATTCTAGTCAATTATTTGTTTCCTTTATATAATACACTTAACCCACCATATAGTGGGAATGTTGCTGAAAGTCAACAGTCCCGGAAGATCAAATAATTTATACCTGTGCCGCTAGGTCAAAAACTACAATGTTTGCAGTGTCTGTAGATCAAAAATCACAGTAAGTCAAATAGTACAGTCCGAGCTAAAAACGTGGTCTATGTTAAAGCAATTGACTTATTGGGAATTTGACCTAATGCAACAGCAGTTTTCATAAAACGAAATACGGTAAAATACAAGTTCAGTTTCGCTGAGTCAACAGTGCCGGAAGATCAAAAGCAATAAAAGTGAACGTCGATTCAGTGTAAAGTAGACCTGCTGCAACGCTTACTACACCAACAAAACTCGCTTTTAGTTACTTCGTGTTTTGTCATAATTAGAATAAAGCTAAAATTATCATATTTGGTACATAGCTTATCTATTAATGTTTCTTGCCAACTGTTTGGTCAACACTGTAAATAGGTATAGTTTATGTAATGAAAAGCCTTTCGTCAAAATTTGTGGCATAAAATACACGCAAGGACGATCTGAAAATTTCTGGTTATTATATACGTTTGTAAAAGGAGATCCATTTAATTGTAGAACTATTTTATGAGTTACTAGCTGTACCCGCGGGCTTTGCCCCGTTTTACTTCATAAGTGAGCTCGTTCGCATGGCTCAATCACGTCCTGGTTGAAGTTCATTCACTACGCTCACTCACCTTTAGGTTGGAGCTCATTCGCAGCGCTCACTTGCCTTCAGGTTAGCTCGTTGGCTACGCTAACTCGCCTCCAGGTTGAAGTTCGTTCGCTACGCTCACTCACCTTTTGGTTGCAAATTAGCTGTTGTCATAAATTTAAAAAAATAATAGTGCTGCACCCTGTTGGTAATCCTTGTAGTAACTTTAATGCTATTGAACATCATAGAACAGAACCAACTTGTTTAATTGAAACAGCTGTTAAAATTCATTAATTCCATTTAAATATGAGTACTCATAAGGTTAACATGGGAAACTCCAGAGCCACTGGGGCGGAGCCCGAGAATCCGATCAGAATAAAAACAACTTAGTTTTCCTATTTAATGCCTAAAGAATCAGTGTACCAAATTTCAGCCTCCTAGGTAAATGGGAAGTGGGAGAATTAGTGATGAGTGAGTGAGTGAGTGAGTCAGTCAGTGAGGGCTTTGCCTTTTATATATATAGATAATGTAGTCTACACATAAACTGTGGCCTCGGAAGGGTTGAAACCTGTCCAAACTATCATATATATTATTAAAACGTAAATGAGGTTTTTCACATTCTGAATCAACCAGTCGACGGATTTTCATTATTTTTATGTTGAAAGAAAGATAATTTTGAGAACTAGGGAATGTCAAAGCCATAATTATAATTAAGGGTCCCAGTTTTTTAGAAATTAAGTTTTAATTTTTAAAAAGTCTAGCAGCCGACGCTTACCTTCTAAGCTAGCTTTTAGTACAATATAATTTGCTTAACATAACAGCTGTAAACATTCAGCATTTGGAAACAAATTTAAAGACATATTTAGAGTTGACATATTTATACTATGTGTAATGCTGACCATTGATACATTCAATTCTTAGGTATGAGGATGGCAGATTAATTAAATATGCATAGTAAAATTGTAGGATGTTCAAATTATTTTTAAAGGAATCTTTATAATCATTGATTTGTTTTAGTCCCATATAATTTGTTTTAACTAACAGCTGGTTGAATGTAATATTGTTCTATATAACTATTACGTTTTTGGCGAATATCCCATGTAGGGAATAAGCTATAACCGTAGTACTTATGGTAACACCTGGACCCGCGGGACCGATTTAATTTTTCGTTTTGAGGTCCCTAGAGGCCAAAAACACCATCCGTTCAAATTCATATATACAGGGTGATCAACTCAAGGAGTCCACCATTGGGAAATCTGAAACGGTAAGAATTAGAGAAAACTTTAAATGGGGCACATACCTTTAATTTTTGTGGCAGTTAAAATATGATTTTAGTTTTTTATCATGTTTTCGGATAGAATATGCAATTTAAAAACTTTGTTAGCTTTGACATTTTTTTGATAAACCCACTCGTTTAGGATTACAGCCTATGGAAAAATGACTTCCGGTTTACATTTTACATCATGTAGCTCCTAAACGAGTAAGTTTAGAGCAAAATTGCAAAAAGTAAATCAGTCTTAGAATTGCATCTACATTCCTTTAAGACTATAAAATAAAAAGTTTTCCACTTTTCAAGTTTGCCGCAATTTTTTTAAATAATATAATTCATATTTTTAATGAATTTTATGGTCTTTTTGGAATGTGGATGCAATTGTAAGACTTTTTTACTCTTCCCATTTTTGCTATAAACTTACTTGTTTAGGAGCTACATGATGTAAAATGTACACCGGAAGTCATTTTTCCATAGGCTATAACTCCTAAACGAGTCGGTTTATCGAAAAAATGTCAATTATAAAAAAGTTTTTAAATTGCATATTCTATCCGAAAACATGATAAAATATAGGGTGTTCTATAAGAAATTTCAAATTTTGGCCGCCATTTTGGAAAATGGCGGCTGAATTTCAAAAAACTAAAATCATATTTTTAACTGCCACAAGAAATAAAGGAATGTCCCCCATTTAAAGTTTTCTCTAATTCTTACCGTATCCGATATCCCAATTACAATTTAAATTGTAATTGGACACTAGTAAGTACCAGTGCACTTGTTGCTACCTCCCCCCTTCGGTTTCATGTATTCCTCTCAATCACTTCAAACCTAGGAGGATTAAACATTAATGTTAAATAATGTTAAATCCTCCTAGGTTCAAACCTGAAACACCCAGATCGAAACTCGCCTTAACATCGCTTAATTTTTTTTACTATATTTTTCAAAAAAGGAAGATTAAATTGATTTACTTTGGATTTTAATAAGTGGACGTTTTATTTTATTAAAGATTTATGGTGATACGTAAATATTGTGGTATATTATATTGTAGTTAAGTGTTAAATTTTTAAATTTTAGGGTGAATCGAGATGAATCTTTTTTTATAACATGGGTCTCTCCTACCTTAACGTACATACCAAGTTTCATAAACATCGGTTGGAAAAGTGTAAAGAGAAATATTTGTATGTAAAAAATACAAAATGGCGGATATCTGGTTAACGAAACGATTTTGGAAAAAATGTTATCGTTCATTTTCTGTTTATTTTGACCCAAGGAATTACTAGGTAAAGTGTCTCTCCGCTTATTTTTAACACCTTGTTTGTGATGTATTCTTATTAATATAAGTGAAAAATGTAAGCTGGTAATACAGAAATATGTTTTATAAATAATATGAATGTACTGGTAATCTGTATATTCATCTTTTTCTTGTCCTTAGAACTGTAAATTTAAAGTCCACTCAGCAGTCGCATCGTACGATGTAGTTCTTTCCATGCGTTGCGAAATGCTAAATTTTCCGTCCTCTTCAACCCAAGTTATCTATTGAACCACTTATTGTAAAAAATTCAAAAAAATATATTTTACGCATCACACTTTTGGCTACAACTTTGCCACAGACAAAACTTCTCTAACCCAAAAACAAACAAAAATCTCGCATGCTAACTTTTTCATTTTAGAAATCACGATTTAAAACTATTTCACCATACATATCAATTTTTATTAATTAGATCGGCAAATAGTTTAAAGTTCCAACAAAATAGTCATTGAGTAGGACTAACCAAGAAGCTCTGTGCCAATTTTCAAAATCTTAGCACAACTTTAAGTACACCAAAACACGAAATTATTGAAGTCATGCGTCGAGAGGACTATCGTTGTTTTTAACAGATTATACTTTTGACCTTCCGGCACTGTTGACTCAGCGAAACTGAACTTATATTTTATCTTATTTCGTTTTATTAAAACTGCTGTTGCATTAGGTCAAATTCCCAATAAGTCAATTGCTTTAACATAGACTACGTTTTTAGCCTGGACTGTACTATTTGACTTACTGGGATTTTTTATCTACAGACACTGCAAACATTGTAGTTTTTGACCTAGTGGCACAGGTATAAATTATTTGACCTTCCGGGACTGTTGACTTTCTGCAACGCGTCCCCTAGATGACTAAATAATTTGTAAGCACTCTACTAAGACATTAGTATTATTTTACTTTTATCACAACACAATATCTTTATATTTTTTAAGGGTTATTTTTTTGTTTTATTTTCTTTATGTTGAATTATCAGTTTAATCACTACTTACATTATACTATAATTATACTATATTCTAAAGCTAATCTATTTTCACCTAAGTGCTGAATACTGATTAAAAATTTTTATGCAAATTTTGATATGTTGATATACATAAAATTTACTTCTCGTCTTATATTTTTAATTGTTAAAATCCTGTGGACGTTTGCTTGAATTCCGTTAATTTATTTAACACAGCTTAAACAGTCTAACGTTATTTTTGTATTCAAATACCAAAATATTAAGATTACAATATTCTAACTTATTTTTTTAATTTCCTCATACTTAGACTATATCCTGTGCATTTTAGATTTTATATGATAAAACATAACACAAGATTATTGTGGAACACCGAGATTATTGTTTTTCATAAAGTACAAATTTTAATGTGCAAATATTTTTTCATCCCATATATTTATTTCATTAATGTTACGTTATTATACAACTATTTAGGATGAACTATTGTATGTTTTAAGGTTTGTATTTATTGTTACAACTCTCAATACGACCAATAATTCATTCTGTATTAATTTATTATTTAAAATTGGATTGATAAGTTATATTCCTTTTCAAATAAACTAGTAAAATACATTACCTATGGTCTGTTCAAAAAATGTAGGCGGTTTGAGGGGAATTTCCCCCACCAATTTTTTCTGCTTAATGTATGTTGCAGCTGACTTTTTTACAAATCTCAGCTGTGATCTGAGCTATTTTTTTATTAGTAGGACCAAGATGTAGAGGAGTTTGATTTCTTTCCCTAAAACCGCCTAAATTTTGTGAACGGATTATTATAACACTTCC